AGTCTGGCAAGGTCTCGGTTCTCTCTCGCGTAAATGCGCAAGGTTTCCGTCAAATCGTTCAGGACTTTCTCATTGGAAGCTTGGTTCATGAGGAACTCACCTTTAAGTCCCTTCATCTCTTCCATAAGACTACTTTGGAGAGTCTTAACGGTGTTTGTCAGATGAGCTTTCAAATTCAAAATTTGAATTTGAACTGGGCGCTTGTCTGGCAACATTGAAAGGACATCTGCCATTGTGTTCGGCTTCGGTGCTTGTTCGGACATCGAAAAAATGAAGTGGTTTGAGAATGGCGGTTTTACTTCAAAAAGCTTGTTATGACGGTTAAGTCATACAACAAGTTTAAAATAATATCTTGTTCTTCTTCTGAACGTTTGTTGTCTCTTCCGATAAAAGTTTCGAACATGAGAACCAAAAAACGTTTTTTGAGATTGCGGAAGAGTTCAGGCAAACGTTCATATTCTGGATATGTTGGGAGCAGTTCAAAACATCTGAGCTGACTTTCGGACAAAATTGGGACAATGTCAGAAATTCATCTTTGGTCGGACTGCTTGAAGGTAAGTCCCTTACATGTAAGTAGCTCTGGTAAAGTCTTCTCATCTCTGCTAACTTTGGAGTATAGCTTCGTAATTTAGAGAGTTTTAATTTTAATTGTCTTATTCTCTCTTGACATCTAAACGGTAACTATCCATGAGGTCAAGAGTAGCTTTGGTAGCTTTAAGTGGAGCTATTGTTCCTTGACTTCTGCAATTTTGGTTGCAATTGTGGTTTGAGCTCCTTCAGTTCGCCGTCTATGTCGTTCTCAACACCTTCAACCATAGCTTGAAACTCTTCATCGGTCCATTGAGATTGGTGTGGGACGAATTTAACTTGCTTCATTCAAAAAAGAAAAAAAATGTTTTTACTCAAAGCGTGCCATATATGGCTATAAGAAACTTACCAGAAGGCTTCTTCTTCACATGAGTCTTCGGCAACTTGAGAGTTCTTGTTGGAGTTGGGTCTGGAATTTCAATTCTCTCTCGAGCGCAACAACAGATGTCAGAATAACATTCCCCACTGTCTTTCTTGCCACCATAAATTGTGTATTGACCGAACTTGCATTTGCAGGAAGACCGGTCAATACAAGGTTCACAGTTGAAATAGTTGTACACAAACCTGTTGAGTACGAGTGTGAGTAAAAACATAAAAAAAGTGAAGTTAAAATGAGATGTTTACTGAATTGGTTGGATGTCGCCTTCTGAGGTTATGAAGAACGGCTGTCCAGAGTAGTGAAGTAGTGCTCTGAGAATTTGTGTAATTCGTGGAATTGGGCTCTCACGATATGGAAGTAGTATCCAAGGACGTTTCATGAAGAACTTCAAGAGGGCTTCTTTCTTCACATCCTTAATATCATCGAATGCAGTGCCTTCTGGAACTTGAATTGCAACACCTGTTTCAATTTCCAACTTTAAGACACTATTCTTGGACAACCAGAAGCCAATGGACTTGCTTGGTTTGCACTTGCTGAGATATTCCTTCACGGTTTCATTTACCTCAATTAGATAAATTGCTTCGTCTAAGGGGTCAAGCTCCATACTGAGTCAGTACAATATTGTACTTTTTCAAGACAATGTTGTACTTTTTCAAGACAATGTTGTACTTTTTCAAGACAATGTTGTACTTTTTCAAGACAATGTTGTACTTTTTCAAGACAATGTTGTACTTTTTCAAGACAATATTGTACTTTTTCAGAACAATGTCTCTCAAATTTGAGGACAGCTGTACTTTTTCAGAACAAGTCTTGAACTTTTTCAGAACAATGTTGTACTTTTTCAAGACAATGTTGTACTTTTTCAAGACAATGTTGAACTTTTTCAGAACAATGTTGTACTTTTTCAAGACAATGTTGTACTTTTTCAAGACAATATTGTACTTATTCAAGACAATGTTGTACTTTTTCAAGACAATATTATATTGTTTCAGAACAAAGACGGTTAAGACACAAACGAATGTCCGACGTCCCACCTACTGAACCCGTTCCACAGCCAGAAGAACAGCATGCTCCAGCACCACAACAGGTTCCACCTCCACAAGGCTACCCACAGCAACCTCAGTTCCAACAAGGACCTCCGAATTACTACCAATTTCCACCTCAAGGTTACTACCCACCAAGGTTTCTACCCACCACAAGGCTTTCCAAACTACCCTCTCAACCCATGCCTTACTTCCCTAACCCTTGGATGTTCATGTCAAACCCTCCACCCCAATTCCAATCTCAATCCCAATCGAAGAGAGACCAAGAGTTCGAAGAAGGTCTGAACCGTTTACGCAAAGAGTATGCCACAGCCCCTATGGAAGAAGACAGGCTCTCACTCTCTTCCCTCAAATCGACCGATTCGACTCGTACCACAGATTCGGTTCGTGACCGTGAAGACTACCTCAAGCAGTCTGAGAGACTCTTCATCCTACAACCATTTACAGTTGGAGCTCTCAAGAACATGCGCAATTACGAAGGTCAGACACCAGCTGGAGACCGTAAAACAGACGTACTCGCAAGAGCAGTCCAACTGGTCAAGACAAAGACCGAGATAGTCGACTTCATTCTTGCAGCTTGCCCATACAAGTAAAAAAATAAACAATTACGAGTTAAACTTTTTACTCTTTCTTTTCTGAGTTGTTTAGAGCTGGTTTCTCTTGTAGAAACCTTTCGTACTCTTCCATGGTCATGTAATTGCGAATTTGGTACGCAATTCCAGGTTCGTTGTTTTTGAACCTTACGTATGTAACGCTTCCATCCTCCTCAGGGAAGTAAGCTGCTAACATCTGACCAAGTTTTCTCGGTGACTCGGAGCTCATAAAAATGTCACTTTTTAAACGTTAAGTTTTTAGTCTTATTTTACCCTTTGTTTACCCTTTGTTTACCCTTTGTTTGTCAAGGTAGTATTGGAGTGCAATTTCTCCAAATTCTCTGTGTCGGAGTTCTTCAGCATTTTCCAAGGTGTTCCTGGAGAACTCAAAGAAGTTGTCAAGAACATACTGCCATGCTGCTCTTCTGAGTTCGTCGGTATTTTGGAAGTGTTGCACCTTCGAGTCTTCGGACATGAAAAAATAACACTTTTTCTATTAAACCGTTTACAATTTGAATTTTGTTGCTGAATTCAGCAAAAATATAATTTAGGGTAGATGGGTATATCTAACCTCTTTTCTAACCTCTTTTCTACCCTCTTGAATTTTCATGAATTTTATACAGAAAATGCTTGTTTTGAGGTCGAGCCACTTTTGGCTCCACCGTATTCTTTCAACCAAAACTCATGAATTCAGCAAAAATATATTTTAGGGTAGAAGGTTAGATATAACCTCTTTTCTAACCTCTTTTCTACCCTCTTGAATTTGTCATGAGTTTTCCCGAAATAAAAAATAAAGTTGGTTTTTTTAAAAATATTTTTTATTTTATTGTAAGAACATTTAGCAACAAACAGCACCAAACTCGTTAGTCATAACCCAACTTCAATTAGTAGAGATAAAAGCTTCATTCCTTCTTCATATACTTTCGAAACAAAAATCCAGAAGATAAAGCAAGAACTTTTAACAAGTATTTGGACTCTTAGTGCGAAAGATGAAACAAAGAACAGATATCTTTATGAATGCAGGATATTATGACCATTTACCCAAAATTCCTGAAATCCACAACAAAAGCTTACTATTCCAGAATTCGATGAAATAGAAGTCAAAGCAACTGACTCAGTAGAAATAAAGAAGTTCATACGAAAGTTAACTATGAGTTTCTTGGATTTCATGCAACCACAAAGTCATGGACAAAATTGCGATTGGTATATAAGAACATCTCTGATATACAAATCTGGGAGTTTAAGACCTACGACAACTTTGTTTCGTTAGTTGCAATGTGTATGCAATAAGAGATAAAATAAAGAGTAAGATATGAAGAACAGATAAAACCCGCAACTTTTGAGTTAAAGAGAGCAATTGACGCCTTAGTCATACTAGCAGTAAGTTTCAGAATATAACGCAAAAAATGAACCCGCAATGTTCAAAATGTAAGCAGCAATTAGGAAATATAACTACTCCGTCAAAGAGATAGAACGTATGAGAAACGACTATGCTGACTTAAAGAGGGAGGCAGAGAAACCAGCAGAAGATAAAATGGACATGTTGACATTTCTAAACAAAAACTATCCAACAGCTGACGATTTCCTTCTTTCAGATGTCAAGAAGAAGTATAAAGAAACCTTCGGCATTGTTAAAACATTCGATGTACTGACAGAAGAAATAGAAGCTACGAAATTGTTTAGAATTTCACGAATTCACAATGTTTACCATGTAAAACGCTTATAAAATAACTGGGGTAGAAAAGAGGTTAGATATCGGGGTAGATATACCCTTCTACCCTAAAATATATTTTTATTGAATTCTGAGTAAAATTCTGAGTAAAATGACAGATGGAACACATACTTTTTCAGTAAGGACATATGGGGTAGAAATGAGGTTAGAAATCGGGTTAGATATACCCATCTACCCTAAAAATATATTTTTATTGAATTCCGTATGAAAATCGTGAAAAATAACAGAGTATTTTGACAACTTCAAACAAGCAGAGTAAATGAACCATTTATTTTTATTGACTTTTTACAATTTGAACTTTGTTCGCGTAGATATGAATTCTGAAAGAAGTATGAGGGTCTTGTATGACTTTGTACTTCTCCCATAGTTCATGTCTGTCAAACTTACCTGCCATGGACTCTTTCATAAGTTCCATGAAATCGTCTTCGGACAATCCAGGGAAAAGTATAATGTCAGTAAGTATTCTCTTTACATCCTTACTTAAACTCTTGGCTGTCTGTACACAAATGACAACTGAGATGTTAAAGTGTCTGAGCTTCTTAAGAATTCGACACATGTCTTGTTCTCTGTTCTTTAACAAAGGATGAGAAGCAAAGTCATCTAAGATAAGAAGACATCTATGAGGGTATGTCTTCCAATCGTAAGATTGCAATTTCTTCGAAATGTATTCTATCTCTTTCTGTTTGTTTCTGAAGTGTTTCTTCTCTAATATTCTCTGCATTTCCTCATTTGGGTCTTTAAACTTCGAATTGACATACTCATTTATAGCATTGTACTTCAAAACTCTTCTTTGGTACTTCTTTATCCAATCTAACAACTCAGAGTCTTTTATACATACTAACTTAGACTTCTTTATAATATCTTTGAACGAATTGACGGTTTGGTCAAATTGACCAGAAGTACTACAAATGACAACTAACTCATAGAATGGGTTCTTCTCATCTAGTTCTTGTTGTTGTGCAGCCATTTTAAGATAAGTGAAAGTCTTACCCGACCCAGGTGGTGCAATTAGACCTGTTATACCATTCTGAGCAAATAAGAACTTGTCATGTATGGGTTTTATCTGAGCATTTTCTAACTTCCTCTTGTTCTTGTTTAAAACATTCTCAAATTTCTTGTCAATGTCAGCAAACTTTTTTTCTAACATATTTTTAGAAAAATTAAAATTTTATCTTTTAGAAAATGTCTAGCGATTTCGCTATCTATATTCGAGACAAACTTTTGACAGCAAAACATCTGTCGACCATAAAATCTTACATAGTGTAAACAAGAAAGGTGAATTTGTTCTAAAGTTCTGTTTCTGGGAATATGACAAGAACCATAAAACATTACAAAGAGCAGTCTTAAAATTTGTCAATGACAGACTTGTTGACAGAGATGACGCCGATTGGAAAGATGAAGTCCAACAAAAGTTCTTAGAATGCAAAGAAGACACATGCGCTGTTCTTGAAGATGAAATAGAAAACAGAATAGAAGAGCTATTAAAGGACAAAGAACTTTTACAGAAATATGGTTCGGAGAAATTTGACATAACTCCACCAGAAAAGAAGAAGAAAGAAAAGAAAGAAAAGAAAGAAAAGAAAGTAGAAGAAGAGAAGAAAGAACCTGAACCAATTCCAGAGAAAAAGAAATTTGACATGTAAAAATAAAATTTTATTTTTAGAACATTTCTGGGTCAATGTCAATGTTCTCTTCCTCTTTAGGAGCAAACACTGGCTTAGACTCTAAAATCTTTTTACCCAATTTACCTTGAACTTCAACTATCTTAGACTCATAATATTCATAGTCGTCTGCTTTCTTTGGTTCATAAGGTATAACAAGTTTGTATGCTTTGCCTTCTTCGAGTTTTGAGAACTTTCTGTCAAAATTTTCTTTGACTGCTAACAAACCTTCTATGTCTAAGTCTTCAAATTTCGCACCATTTTTAACAATAGCAAACTTAACGGGTTCGATGTTCCAAACTTTGTCATATGTAGACTTTTCAAAATGGTAGAAGTAAACATTCAAATATATGAATGGGTCTAGTTCTTCTTTAAGTCCTGACATGTACTTATTTACTGAGATGAATTTTCCATCTTTTCTATCGGATAAAAAAATATTTTTTTTAAATTTACTCATAAAAATTTTTCTTTGTATATACGCCGTTCTGTACGTCTAAAAGATTTTTGACATTTGCCAAGAATGTACGTTTAGACGCTGTCATATAACCATACTCTTGACAATATTGTTTATACGAATCGTACAATGACCTTTCATCTAAACACTCAAAGTTTCTCATCTATGAACAGTTCATATACACTCTTGTTTGCTTCTAACAATGTTTGTCTCTCTTCGGTATGTGGAATTTGTCTTGGATTGAACTTTGAAATATCTAATGTCATGAAATATGAGAACAAGTGGTTGTAAAAGTAGTGTCAAAGTTTCTGCTAAGTCGTCAAAATATTCTGTATCTTGCATATGAGAATCTGACGTTCTGACAACTACATATCTTCTGTCAGAACTTTCTAACTTCATCGGAACGGCGTTGTTTGAAACCATAATGAAATTTGCAACATTTTCACAAACTCTTTGGTCTTTATATTTTCTTTCAACAACTCCAACTTTGTCTGTTATAAGACTCTTCAAAGCATCTGAGTTTAAAACCTTTGTTGTATCTATACTTTGAAGTTCGTTACATACTATAAGTTTCATATTCTCTATTGAAGAGTTAAATTTACCGCAGATGTTTTCTAAGTTTGTCATATTCGGGTTCGAATAGCCCTCTAACAGTTTGCATAAGATATCTGTAAAGAAAGTGTTCTTACCTGTTCCTTGTTTTCCAATTATGATGAGAGCAGTTTCATTTTTAGCACTTGGATGTTGTAAGATGTTTGCAAACCAACATAAGATATACTCATAGACTCTTTCGTTTCCATTGCATATAATTTCTTTGACATGGTCTAACCAAGCTTCTATAATATTTTCTTTCCATTCTACTTGTTCGTATTTATATCCAGTGAAGATAGAATAGAAGTTTGGAGAAGGTGTATAGAACTTTATACCACGAACTGAAAAATCTTCTAACTTTGACAATAAGATATCCCAAGCATCTAACATCTTCATACCAACTTGTACGACTTTTATTTTCTTAAGTTTCTGTCTACATTCTTGTTCTGAAACTATTGTTGCTCTTGGTTTGTTAAAGACAACATCCCATTCTTTCATGACATAACATTCTGGGGCAGAGTCGACATAAATGACTAAACGTTTCAAATTCTCGACTGCTTTGTTATAGTCTCGAAATGGACACATATTTCTGAACGCTTGGAAGTCATAAAAATCTGAAACATCTATTCTGTACATTTTTATAAAAATAAAAAAAATATTTTTTTATTCTTGACTTTTATTTGCATTTTTGTTGCATTTGTTGCATTTGTTGTTCTTGAGCTATTTGTTGTTGAAGTTGTTCTTGTATACAATACTTTCACCAGTTGCATCTTCCAATTCGAAACTTTCTGCCGTCATTGACAAATACATAGGACATAAAAGTTTTACAGGAACAAAGTTTGCGTCAACTAAGGTTAAGTTTATGTTTGCTAAAGTGTTTGAGTTTACTAAAGCTGAAAACTCTGCATTCGAATGAACAATAGGCAAACCAGCAGAGAAAGTGTTGTTTATACGCATGAGTATCTTTTGGTCATAGTAGTTTCTGTCGACATTCGAATAGCACTTTGAACCTAAGTTTGAAACAATATATAAATGGTGTACTTAAAGTCAATGGAACAGACATTCCTTGTATGACACCTTTTCCTGTTATAGGAAACTGTTGGTAGTAAAAACCAGATATAAGTTTTGTATTATAGCTCATATCGTTTATAGTAAACTCAGTCGGACATCCAAACATAATGAAACCTGCTCTAGTTGCAGCACATGTTACATCCGTCCTTAAAGTATTAAATAAGTCAACAAAACCTGTTGGTGGTATATCTGAGTAAGTATCTTCAAAGAAGTATTTTTTACCATTCACAACAACAAAGTCTTCTGGTGTCAAAAGAGCAAAACAGGCTTTAGTCGTCATCGTGTTTAAGGTCAGTTTACAATATCGTCCTTGAGGACTTTGTAAGTTTGTTGTTATAGAATTATATGACTCAGGGTTTTTAGTCGTAATAGTATAAACCACTATGTCTTCTGCCATTTACTTAGCAAGTAAATTTTAATGAAATGTTGTGGTCGTCAAATATTTTTATGACGTCTGGGAAACTATATTTTAAGTTCAACGTTTCACCTCCTTTCATAACGTATATCTTGTCAATGACATTATATGAAACACCACAGCAACAATGTCGGGTTCTATTTCTTTGATGTTTATATCGTCTGCCTCTGTCAAAAGTTTCAATAGTTCTTTCAAAATTTCATGAGGTGCGATGACATATGAGTTCACTTTTACAGGGTTGTGTTCGACCAAGTTTAACATTATACCCAAAGCTTGACAAATCTTCTCCTGAGTTTTAAGTTTGTCTTTAAGTTGTTGGTAGTCGTTTCGAATATCTGCAACAGAACTTAAGTCTCTGCTAACTTCAGGTATGTTGGTTGTTCTTTTACAGGAACTATTGTTATACCATCTTCGTCTTCGTATGGTTTCCCCACTTCAACATCTCTTTCTTTGACATTGACAACAACACTTTGACTGTTTGTTTGAGTTGGTGAATTTAACTTCACATCTGCCACCGCCATTAAACCTTTTGAAACACTTACGCTTCTATTTTTCGGAAATGACATTTTACTTAGAATAAAAAGATGGACGTATTTGAGTATCTCTTCGAATTGAAGCAAAACAAAGTTTACACACACAAACAATACAAGTTCATTGACAGAATAGTTCTTTATACAAACAATGGAAAATGTTATAGAATAGCAGTCTTTGCTGAACCAAAATATTTTCATAAAGCAAAGAAAGTTGGTATAACGAATGGTGAAAGTTCTTGAAGCAGACAAAAATATAACAACAAAACTGACCGATATTTCTAAAGGTAAGTTTATAATACAATATTATGTCAAAACTGGCGTACTGTCAATATTTGACGGAGAGAAGTCAGTTCAAGAACAACTTACTGACCTGCTGCCAAAATCTGCTCGATGGAAGCTGTCGTTATGCCAATCTGAGGAGCCCCAGCAGGTTTCATCGAACGAATCTTCAAAAGAGCATCTTCCGTGAAAAGTGCTATTGGTTTTGTAAACTTCTTTTTCTTTCATCTGGACCGTCTCTGTCACCAGTATATTGTATTTGAACTGTACCAACAGTTGAAATACCACCCATAAAGTCTTCTGAGTCAGCAAATGGAATGCCAAGCCAAAAGTTTGAACGGTCTCCATTTGTATATTGAGTTTTTTGACCTCCTGTATGAGTCCATACTTTCACATATGGCATAATAGAACTTTGCATTTCAGGGTTAATGGTTGTTGTGAAGTTGTTGTTAAAGTTCATAGCATCTAATGTCAAGTTGTATGACCTCATATCCTCAACTGTAGAATATTCTTCTCTTGGATAGTATTTGCCATCTATGTTTATATGGTATTTAATACCAGGGTTGTAGAAGCAAGAATAGTCATTTATAGTTCGTCTGAACAGTACAAACATAGTATCTGCATGTTTCATTGCAGTTGTTAAAGCAATATCTGTTCTTGCACCTGGGTCAGCACTTTGGTTTCCAACTTCACCTGCAAAGTCTTTGACAGATATTTGGTGTATAGGGAACATAAGTGGAACTGCAATATATTTGGCAGCTAAAGCATTTGAAATATCTGGGTCCAACATATAGACTGCAAGTCTGCTTTCTATTCTCTTGCATTCAAACTTTTCGCATGTGAACTTAACTGGGTCCCAAGCAGTTCCAGCAGCATTGAATATAGTTTACTTCAGTGTTGAGGTTTGAGAAACCAAAGTCTAAGTCAACTTTGTCTTTGCAAAAGTCGGCGAATGACGTTTGATTTGCTCCCTTTACGTCTGTAAGAGTGAATGGGTCTTGTGTTGGTGCAATGACTAAGTTATTTTTGCTTGGAGTAAGTTCGATAGAAATTTTTCCTGCCCAGTTTGGCAAGTATCTTAAAAACCTGAAGATGAGGAAAGATGACAAAGGAACTCTAAGTTTCAGTTTTACTTTGGTTACTGCTGCTGCAGTTTGTCCAGAAAGGTTAACATAAACTCCTGGAACGTTAGGGTCAAGTCTTCTTATTTTCTCAATAGTTGCATACTGGTCTGTTTGTTCTCTAGCTTGTGGTTGTACTGAGTTTCTCAAAGCGAACCATTCATAGTTTGCCCATGTTACTGTTTGAACTAAGTCAGAGTTAGAATATATCTTATATCCCATGAAAACTTCTGGAGCATATTGGTATCCGACATAGAAAATTCCATTGCAACCTTTCTTGTCAGACAACTTGGCAGAAGGTTTTATTTCAATGTCTTGTTCCACGTATAAGAAAGAGTTGTCAATAGAAATTATATGAAACCTGTCGCAAGCAATATCTACTGTTGTTGAAGAACCTTCTCCAAACTCACCTACGTTTCCATAAGAAACAGCAGTTGTATATTCGTAAGTTCCAGGAACTATTTCTGACCTTCTAATGGCATTGTCGCATTCGTTATACCATTCGGAAACATTTCCATTCATGGCATCCAAAACTGTTGGCGTTATATTCTGAGCGGCGTACATTTCATATGAGTAAAAATATAGAATAGTTGGATTTATATGTCATAATAGAACCCACTCCGACCAAGCTTTACTTTCTTCCTGACTGAGTTTTTAACTCTTCTTTTTCCTTCATTGCCCTCTGCTTGAAGTTGTTGCATCTTTGCATTATGTTCATCTAGTATGTTGCAAATTTCCCATGTCCTTTTTGCCTTTTGGCTCTGGTCGCCCATCTCAGGTAACCTATATCCTAGAAAGAGTTTGTCATAGTCTGTATTTGAGTCTTCGCGTATTGTTTGCATGACTCTTTCCTGAGTTTCTGGTTCAAGCTCTTCAAACAGTGCCTGTCCATATGGAATATGCTCGTTTCCAAATATATGTTTTTGTAGCCATTCTGGTTTTCTTTCCATGTTACCAACAATATCTTTTGTGAATGGGAAAGCTTTACCCAATCTTTCAGTCTTGCGTCGTTTATTTCTGTAGTTGGTTTTATTTTGTCAAGGAACATGTTTTTCAATACTAACATTTCATTTGGTACTGTCCATTTGAGTTTTCTTAAATATTCATCCCTTCTCGGTTCATTGTCTGCAAAGTAAGTTTTTATGACATTTTGTAAACTTTCGTTTGCAAGGTCATGTACAATAGGTTCTCTTCCTTCGCTCTCCCTAACTTTCTTTCTAAACTCTTCACCAAATATACCATCTCTATGGTTCTGTGTAGTTCTTTGAGATAAATGTTCTAGAACGTCAGGTGTTATATTTCCATCAGCCATGTTCATTTCATACTGGTCCAAAATATCTGCATCTTTCATATCTTTCAATGGCATTAAAGCCGCGCTTAAAATACCAGCTATATCTGGTTCACCATTGACTTCCATTGCGTCTACAACTTCTTGGAATTGTGGTTGTAAGTTTATGAACCACCTATCCGGGATTAGCTTTATGACCCCATCTCATTGTAGTTCCATCGTCTGCAGAAACAAAAGTAGGTTTGTTTCCATCTTGGTTAGGTTCTGAATGAACTTTAAACAATGTTTCATTTCTATATGTTTTCTTGAAATTTAACCTTTTATCTTCACCGAGTTCATCCGAAGATTGAACGTTAAATGCTCGTAAGTAAAAAGGGTTGTTGTATTTGTGTACATTTTTTTTCAGTTCTTCCATTCTATGCTGGATATTTTCATCTGGTGTTGGAGTCTTTTGTATGTCGGCAAACATTTTTCGATATTCTTCTACTATGTCAGCCGAATTTTTTTTAGACTCTTGGAAATATTCCATATTCTCCGCATACTCTTGTTGAGGGTCAAGATTTTTCGGCTGTTCCAAATCTTCATCTAGTTCTGTGAAGTTAGTTTCCAAAAGTGACTTGTTCGTTTCCTTCAGGCTCTTCTAGCTGTTGTTGCTGAACTATTTCTTCCATGTCTGGTTGTATCTGAACTTCTTCCTGTGGAGTTTCTTGTACCTCATCTGCTGGCATTTCATATATTCCGAGACCGTTTTTAACAAGTTCCCTATCTAAGTCATCCGGACTCATAAACCTTTCTTTCTTTCGTTCCGTCTCTATTTTTTACGCGTTTCATGAAGAGAGTTGAATTGTCATTTAGCTCTGACATCAAATATCTCGGAGTAAATTCATCATGTCATTTGGATGATATGCTATTAAATCATATCCCTTAGCGAGCTTGTATTTTCCAGGTTTGAAATTATATCCCATTTGGTGCTGAGCCATAAAGCTAAATAGGTTCGGGTCAGTATTTCCATCCTTGAACTTTCTAATAGCTTCTTTATATCTGTCACTAAAGTCAAGAGTATCTGGGTAACCATACTCTTCTTAAGCATTTTTAAGAATTCTTGGTTTCCTTGTTCTCTACTTCTTTTATGTCCTTGCTCTGTTTGTGCTGGTTGCTGTGCTGGTTGTTGTGTTGGTTGTTGTGTTTGGTTTTGGTTGTTGTTGTGGTGCATGCCTGTGTCTATGTCCATGTGACGATGTAAATGTGTTAGGTAGTCCTGGTGCAGGTGCTTCTCTTGGAGGGTTTGGTGGTATATAAGTTCCACCAGCTGGCACATATGTTCCATCTGCAGCATAATGTCCTACCTGACTTTTCGTTTTTAAGAAAGCATTTACTAGGTCTGTTTTGGTCTGTTGTAACTCTTTTTCTTGACTTTCCACAACAGTTGCTCTAACGGCGTCATAGGCACTTTGAACTGCCTGTCTCGTTGCTGCATCTGTTATTTTCGTCATATTTTGTGCTACTTCTTTTAACTCTTTGTCGAAACCTTCAGACTTCAGTTTCTTTCCAGATGAGAAGTCGTTCACTAGTTTCACCTTACTATGAAGAGCTTCGAAGGCGTTCTTAAAGTCAGCATTTGTTAAAGCTTCATTTGAACTATCTTCATCCGCTTGTATTTTTGTCCTTATTGACCCTATGAGTTGGGCTGCTTTAGCGTTGGCTTGGGCATCTAACCAGTCATTGTTAGCTTTTATATATTCTGCGCTTTTCATTGCCTTTTGCATAGCCGCGTCGTTATTTTTACTTTCTTGTGCTAAGTTTTCATACTGTACGGTTTGGTTTTGCAACTGTAAAAGTTTTTCTGCCTTTACATTTGCTTCAACTTCTTTTTTATACTCATCGCTATCCATATATGTCTTCAGGGCTTTTTGTTTTATCTCTTCATCTTTCAGTATTTTATATTGAGTAGTATGGTTTTTCAAATTTATGACATCTTGTTCCATTTTTGCTACTTCTGCTGCTTTTTCTGACACTTTTTTCGCATATTCCTCTGTACTTAGTTCTTTCAGTTGTTCTTCTTTCTTCTTTTTCTCTACGTTTAACTCATTGAGTTTCTTTGTGTGTCTGTCATATTCTAGTTTCTTTTCGTTTTCACTTATTTGTTTCTGTATGTCTATGTTTGACTTTTTGACATCTGTTATTTGATTTTTGAGTGAACTCAAATTCATTTGACTTTGAGGGTTATAAGCTGTTCCGTCTGCAGCTCCACCATAGCCTGCCATTTTCGCTAAAAGTGCCGCTCTTAAACCTCCACTCTGTGCACCAACAACTCGGTTTAAAAGCATAGGATTGCTTGACATTTGTTGCAACATAGTGGGGTCATTCAGCATTTGTTGTTGCAACTGTTGTTGTGGTGTCAGTCTTACTATTGGATGTTTCAATGCTCTCTTCCTCTTACGTATATTCTTACGTAGCTTACGTGGCATTTTAAGTGAAGTTAAAAAGCGGTTTTCGACAGATGTTTATATGACACTTTTTGTTCAGCACAAAAAACTACTCGGTCAAAGTGTTGTCAGTTTTGTAAAATAACGGTCCTATCTTGTTTTAAAAGGGGAAAGGCTTCTCAAAGTATACTTCCTTGGAACGCCTGTAACTTTTCCTGTAGCGAAGATAGACCCTTACTTGTCCGGACAAAGTTATACTATTTTGAGTGCTCTACAAAAAAGTCAACGGCGACGACTCTCAAAAACCGTTGTGTAAAAAGTTTTACCGTTGGACAAAAAAGTATGTATAGAAAACAAAAAACGTTTATAGTTCATTCAATATTTGAGATGGAACGGTTTGCCAACGGAGACTTTTCAATAAAATAAAAAAATAGAGGGGGTTACCGTTGACGAAAACGGTTTATTTTAAACTTTTCTATGAGTAGTCCGAAAAAAACAGTTTATTTTTGTCTAATGGCATTCGCTAGCGTGTTCGCTCCAAATTCACCTGAAGAAATTGCTTGCAAACTTTCAGCACCCACAGGTTTAGAGCCTCAATATCAAACTGCAGCATCTACACATTCTCCAAGCAGAACAGACAATTCGCTCAATCCAAAGCCACTTTCACTACCAAAAACAATACCAAACGAGCTCCGTATTACAAAGAACCACAGCAACGCTGAACTACGCAAAATACTACTCAGATTGTCTGAAGAATACTTCAATTCAAAGCCAGAAGAAAGAGTTCCTGCAACTTTTAACAAAGAATATTGTGAACAACTCAACAAAGTTCTTGCAGACTTTACCAAACTACAAAAAGAAACACCTGACCCATTCGAATTAGGTGACACAATTGTCAACTATTTTCCAACAATAACAAAGATAATGGTTGACAGAACTATATGTCAGCTTATTGAAAGTCTTCCACCCAAAGCTGCAAAAAAAGTCGAACAGTTTTGGGTCGAATTCAAATTAAAGAGTTATGGATATCAGGATGACGAAGAAGAACGTGAGTACGGACAAGAAACAGCAAAATGGCAATGTCTTAGCTCACTCAACCCCAAGTTCAAACCATTATTTTACTCAGACAACAACACAATTCAAGTACGCAAAATTGCTATTCATTTCGTTAACCAAGCAGAAGACATTGAAGAAGGAGACTCTATCTCAGTTTATGTTTGCTACTGCAAATTTTTCAAGGACGAATTTGGAGGACCAATTCTCATGCATGTCTTCAAGCCACGTCAGCAACTCTACGTTGAAACTGAAATAACACTCATGCATGGAATGTATCTCAAGTTTGAAAGCCAATTGGAAAACACATACAACATTTGGCTTTCATACATTCAGTTCGATACACCAGATGACTTTGATGTTGAAGAAGAAGACTCTACTCAAGAAGATGAACCACAAGACTCAATCCAAGAAGAGTCCTCCGAATTCACACCCGAAGACTAACAATTTTCCGAATAAAAACTTCAACTATACTAAACATCTTCAGGGCTAGAAGGCACGAAGTGCCTGGAAGCCCCACTACCTTTTTTTTTTTTTTTTTTTTTTTTTTTTTTTTTTTAAATATTTATTAAATTCATTGGCGCCCCACGCCGATACTTCGAAAATAAATTCCTAAACGTCCATTATTCAAAAAACAAATTCCGTTTGGAAATTTAGGAAATGGATCCACGCTGTATTAGCAGTTACACAGATAAAGCTCTTATTTCTTCAGTTGCTTTCTGCACTGATGATACCAGCTTTGTTACTGGTGGAATTGATAAATGTATTAGGCTGCATCAAGTTGAAAAATCAACTCGCGAAATTAAATATAAATGTGAATCAGCGGTTCGTTGCGTAGCACTAGCACCTAATGGTAAATGCATGTTTGGAGGTGATGAAAACGGAAAGATATGGATGAAAGCTCTATCCGTTAGTCAGCAAAAGGAAGACGCAGATTCATTCGTCGCCCATTTCAAAGCTATCAACTCTATTGCTTTTTCTCCTGATGGAACTCGTTATACAACTGCTTCAAATGATGGAACAGCTAAAATCTTCGAATATCCTACCAACAACTTTGTTGCAAGCTTCAAAGGTCATACTCATTGGGTATTATCATCCGAATTTTCACCTGATTCAAATGTTATTGTTACAGCTGGAGAAGATAAAACATGCCGCATTTGGGATGTTCTTAATAAAGAAAAGCCACGTGTTTTTGGAAAATTCCCTGCTTCAGTTACACATGCTACATTCCATCCAAGTGGAACTATTGTTGGCGTAGCTTTAGCTGATGGTTCTTTCTTATTAATAGATGTTCGCAATGAAAAGACCATTCAATATTATCCTAAGGCTCATAATGGTCCTATTACAGCCTTAAGATTCCATCCTTCAGGCTCTTTTGCTTTAACATCATCAACAGATAAGACTCTTTCAATCTGGGATTTAATTGAAGGATTGAAGTTTTATACAATCGATGGATTTGCAGATGAAGTTGTTGATTGCAAATGGAGTTCTAATGGTAGCAAATTTATTGCATGCACAAAATCAGGCGAAGTTAAGACATTTTCTACAAACTTCGACAAGTTAATCAAGACAATAGAAAACACTACATCTACAGCTGGCTCAGCAAGTGATAGTCGTATTGACGAAGCAACTGGAGTTATGAATCCTGAACTAAAGAGAGGACATCCACCAAAGAAGGAATCAAAGCCAAAGCAAGAAGACATGACTCCAGAAGAACGTGATGCTAAGATCACAGCAGCTCTCACAAAGATGTTGAATCAAGTTGAAATTCTCACTAAGAGTGCAGCTATGATGACTGAGCGTGTTAACATGCAAGCTAAGACTGTTGAAAGACTTCAGGCTGCTTATAATCAGTAATTTTCTTCATGTTATTTTTATCTTTTTTCTATTAATGTTTTTTATATTTATTTCAACCGATAATAAATAGCCTATAATATTTCTTTTTGTAGTGTATTTAAATGCTTTAATCATATTTGTTGTAAAAAAGCGTATTAAAAATCCGGAAATATATTTTAACGAATAATTACAAAACTAACATTTAATCATCATGAAAGATGAACGTATTAATAAACATAACAAAGAATAGTACGAAATTGTATTATTTTGCAGCTGTTGCTCGAATTGATTTTTGAACTGAATAAATAGAGCGTATTTCAACAGTTCCAGCCTCATGCTGTTTAGTAGATGATGTGTTATGTGCATAGATTTCTCCTTTATTTTGTCTAAAACATAAAACTATTACAGACACAATAGTAATTACAATAATTACGCAAATAATTGTTGTACATACTATTAGCCACGTAGAAACTTTATTGCTGTCAGGATTTGGTTGTATTACAATAATTCTTGTTGGAGAAGGTAATGGAGAACCTGAAGGTTCTGGTGTTCTATCTGGGATAACTGGAGGAGGTGTGTCTAAAAGATCAATATTTACTGTGTCAAGCACAGCAAGGGCAAATAAAACAAACATTTTTTTTTATTTGGTAAAAAAAATTCTAACGAATTTGTAAAATTTGAGCTCTTTCTAAGTGTTCGAATTTTCATCACAAATGAACTATATATATTGAATAGATAAGAAATTTTTAATAAAAATTCGAAAATATTCTAAAACCAATGAAATGAAATATGAAATTTAAAATTTTCGTGTATTTTATCAAAAATTTCTAGTATTTTCACTAATGCTAGTGGAAATGCAAGTTAAAAAGCTATTCCTTTTTTTATTTCTAAGAAAACATTTAAAAATAACATTTATTCAAAGATATATCCGTGAGCAATTAAAAACTTGTATATCGGAAGAATAGTTCCTGATATTCCTGATGCCAAACCTGTAGCTTCTTCAACAGAAAGTCCTCCTCTGATTGCGTATTCTCTCAGAAGAAGATCTTTGACTGCAAAGTAAATCTTTGTGTTAATTCCTTCTGAATTACACAATTCCACTTCAGCAGCTGTAAGTAATTCTAATTCTGGTGCAAGATCGCGTTTATTCTTTCTATTGAAGTTATCGATGGATCTGTTCCATGTTTCAACATCTCCATTAGTCATTTTACCTTCATGATGGCAACTTTCGAGCGTATCAAATAGTAATCCTTCTGCAGTTGAATGAACTCCGTATTCTTGCCATTTCTGGCATCGTTCTATCTGATCTGAAAGCTGTAGTAACTCGTGTGTGTCTTGAGCAATGCGTAGAATATCTTCTTTCTTCATATATTGCATAAGAGGTAATAACTTCGAATCTATTTCTTTCTGTTCGCGAGTAGTACCACCAAGAAGGCGTGTTTCGAGATCGTTATCGGATTTCGATGATCCGCGCTGTTCAAGATGATGAACGTCCCAATCTTCGATAACCTTAATTCTTGCATGTCTTTCACGTAATTGAATATTGTATGATTGCAAAAAGTTAATTTTTTCTTCAAATGATTGTTGTGATTCATCCTTAAATTCAATATTTGCAACTAGTTCTTCTGCATCATTATTATATTCACTTTCGAACTCATGACGGTAAGGCATCCATCCGGAATATTCTGCAGGGTTTGTAGCTTCTTTCTTATTCTTCTGACTTAAATGTTTAACATGGCCTTCTGAAGGATAAGATTCTTGAGGTTTTGTATTATATCCTGGAGGTTGAGGAACAATAGCTGGTTCGTGTACAGATGGATCAGGAAATGGACTTGTTTCAGATAAAATATAAGTTTGCATGTAATGAGCCTCAATTTCTGCCGCTGTTCGTGGTTTGAGCCATTCGGCAATTGTTTCCCAATTACCAACACCCAATAAGCGGACGCAATTCAGTAGAATGACTTCATCGTTACTATCCCAATCTGAACGAAAGATGGGCTGCGGACTAGAATCCATGAGCATAAATTGGTGGTAGCATCTGTTTAGGTCTTTTTGATCTGAAGGAGGCTCGCAATCGCACTCAACGGAATAACATTCTAAACATTCTATGGCTGCAATGCAACGAGTGCATCTAACATATCGTTCATTGACGATTTCACGCCCACAAATTGAGCATTTGATTTTTCCTTCCTCATCTTTTTTATTCCTTTTCATTCGTATTGAGAAAAGTGACAAAATTGAATACTTCGCGGGTTTTTTTAGTGTAAAAATTGTTCTTTCTTTATGGGGACAAACTATATTTTCCAAAAAAATTTCAAATCCAAAAATATCACAGTAAAATACTAGGAAATGTGATAGCAAAAAATAAAATTGAAAAAAAATTTGGAAAATATTACATTAACTTTAAGGGTCCGTTGTAAGGCCAAATAAGGCCTATCGTCGTCCCAAAAATATTGCTCAAGATGGTACGGGAAAAAGGTGTATTCGCCCCCCAAAATAGGGGAAGGAAAAGTTTTTTTGGAACTTTGATTATACCAATAATATTCATATTTTATACATATACTATGGTATAAAATTTAGGGTCATATCTTTATTATTTACTGACCAAATAAAAATTTATATGTACGTTAAGGGTCCACTGTAAGGCCAAATAAGGTCTATCGTCGTCCCAAAAATATTGCTCAAGATGGTGTTTTACTAAGGCCCAAAACTTAAAAAAACACAAAAAAATTAACTTTACTCTTTTGAGATCCTTATCAGATGTGCAACAATTTGATGCAGTATTGCAATTCGAATCCGATTTTTTAATGTAGATGTACTCTAACATTCTTGAAAAAATGCAAAATGATATTAATTAAGCTTTTCATTTCTGTATCATACACGAAACAAAATCATTCATTATACTAAAATTTATCAAAGTTTGAATAATGAAAAAAATAATATCTAAATTTTTACATTGAGTCGTCTATTGATATGGTCAATATTAAATCGTTTAAAAATGGGCATTAGCCAGAATAATACCCACTAAAATACACATTTTTAAAAATTTTATCAATTTGTTTTGGTATATCTTTATGATAATGAATAAAATGCTTATCTTTCATAAGTCAATACATAATTTATGCTGAAACACAAAAAATAACACGAAAATTTTTGGCCAACATTTCAAAACTAAGGATAATGCTTTGAATATATAAACAATAATACTTTGTCTAGAGAATTAAATTTGTGCTATCCAATTGTCAATTCTTTGAATTTTTTATAAAATGCACGATATTCCGGCATTAGCCTCAATAAATATAAACTACATGCATCACAATATTAGGATGTAATGGCATTAAAGCGAATTTCCTAATTTCTTCTCAATTAAATTCCTAGAAAAACTTAGGAATTAATGATTGGAAATAGGTCAAAAAAATTCCTAATATAAAATTTATACTTAAATTAAAATCAAAATTCGAAAATATCTATTTTTCAAAACACGCATCCAGAAGCGAAAAAATTCGAAAAAATCATTTTCTTATAATACTCGCTGATTTTGCAATTTTTATGTGATTTGAAGTGATAGAATATATTATCATCTTACTAAAACATATACTTCATTGTTACATTCACAAAATATTAATCAGAACACTAGGAAAAGTGGATTTTCGAAAAAAGACGATAACGATTAATTGCAAATCGCCTCTCAATTTTGAGAGACTTTCAATTTTTACAGTGGACCCTTAAAATAATTATTAAAAACTTATTAAAAAGCTAGTTTAAAAGAATTTTAAATCGCTAACAATATTCTATTTTAGCTAAATATTTCAATTTTTACATTAATTATATGATAAATCATTAAGAAAATTTTCAAATTACCCTCAATTTTTGTTTTATATCCATGACAAACTAACACAATCCTATTTATGTGATTGCCAATCTGTTCCCAAAATATATCAGCATGAATATATATATATTGATATTATTTGCAATTTCATCATTAAATAGTACTTTTTTTCTATTTTTAATTTAGAAATAGTATAGTTATATGATAGCGACACAGGATTTTAATTAAAAAATATATGTTATCGACCATCACACTCAAATTGAATTTCAAAAATTTTAGAATTTTTCAATTTCAATATTGAAAATATATTTCTTATATCATAGCGATTCATGTTATAATAATATGGAGAAAAATATTGTTTTAAATCTAAAATTTAAAATGAATGATTGGGCATTACATTAATCCAATTTATTGTTTATTAGTTAATCTAGTGGAAACAATTAATATTTTGGAGAAACAAAAATTTGAAATTTGAAATTTTGAAAAAAATGCATGAATCGGTAATTAAACATTGATTTATTAATTTATTAGCCATGCTTTTGATGTTGGTCTTATTCTTAAGCCGATTTAAAGAATTAATTTTTCCAAATCGTGTTTGACATTAACACATATAGATATATCAGGAAAAAAGGTATCACTTATCAAGTTATTGGTTTTTATGTATCTCCTAACTTTGCCTCGTTCTGAATACAATTCTAGTTAACGAATTTTAAATAACTATATGAAGAATACATCATTTTGGTTTTATTATTATTAAAATGATATATATTAGCTATGTATATGCTTGTAAGAATATTATTCCGTGAATTGGAAACACAAAAAATAAATTTAGACAGAAAATGCATATCTTTAAAAAATAATATGAAATTTAGCTTTGATATTATTATCCGATAAAATATGCATGATAATTACTCCGCAAATAAAATTTAGGAAGCAAGTTGTGACGGTTTGGGCTGTTTTCAATGGCCCACAAGGAAGGAAGTATCGTTTTATCAGGCAACAAGAGGTCTTGAAATGAGTAAAGGACTGATCACCCTTGAAAGGTTCAAACTTGCTTGCGCGCCGCAGTCTTAAAAATGATATGTTTCACTTCTGGTCGAAAATTTCAACCTCTATGACAGTTGTTGGATGAACAATTGTGTAGCGGGATGAAATCTGAGTGCGGCCTGGGGCTGCAGCATCAATCTTCCCGGCATCTTTACCGCAATCATCTCTTAGATTGCACACAAAGTTGCGAACGAGCAGTTTTCTATGCGGTAAAGATGCAGGAAAGAGAGAGTCGATGTGAGGTTCTTTTCGAGGGCTCCTCGAATGAGACACTGTTCCGCATTCATAACTTGAACGCGGAAGTTTGACCGACAAGAGTGTATTGTGCACTCCTGTCGGTCGCAGTGTCTCATCCTGGGAGACATTGCCTCTGCATGTCTCCCAGAATGGAACAATGTTCCGCATTCATAACTTGAACGCGGAAGTTTGACCGACAAGAGTGTATTGTGCACTCCTGTCGGTCGCAGTGTCTCATCCTGGGAGACATTGCCTCTGCATGTCTCCCAGAATGGAACAATGTTCCGCATTCATAACTTGAACGCGGAAGTTTGACCGACAAGAGTGTATTGTGCACTCCTGTCGGTCGCAGTGTCTCATCCTGGGAGACATTGCCTCTGCATGTCTCCCAGAATGGAACAATGTTCCGCATTCATAACTTGAACGCGGAAGTTTGACCGACAAGAGTGTATTGTGCACTCCTGTCGGTCGCAGTGTCTCATCCTGGGAGACATTGCCTCTGCATGTCTCCCAGAATGGAACAATGTTCCGCATTCATAACTTGAACGCGGAAGTTTGACCGACAAGAGTGTATTGTGCACTCCTGTCGGTCGCAGTGTCTCATCCTGGGAGACATTGCCTCTGCATGTCTCCCAGAATGGAACAATGTTCCGCATTCATAACTTGAACGCGGAAGTTTGACCGACAAGAGTGTATTGTGCACTCCTGTCGGTCGCAGTGTCTCATCCTGGGAGACATTGCCTCTGCATGTCTCCCAGAATGGAACAATGTTCCGCATTCATAACTTGAACGCGGAAGTTTGACCGACAAGAGTGCATTATCCAATCTTTTTTGTCATATACCTCAACCCACAAAGACAAAACCTTACATAAAATAGGTAAACTTTGGTTTTCACTTAATAATGTTTATTTTTAATTTTTTGTTCTTTATATAACTTTTTTTCTACTAAACTATTTTACAGACTCTACTGAGCTATCCTCACATATATACCTGTGACAATAACACATATATACTCCCTTCATATTCTGATCTCATGACATATTACAGCACAAACTATAATTATACAACATACCTCATAAAGTCTGATTTTACCCCTATCTAATAGCGTTCAAAACCTATTTTCCCCGCGTAATCTGATTCTTCTGGCTCTGCTGATTCGATTTCTGCTGTCAGATCGTGAAAATATGCATCACACAATGAGATAAACACAAAATACACAACTTAATATTTTCCTTAAAATTGTCAATTCCTCGATCTTGACATATTTATTATTTCCTCCGTTTTCCCTCACAAATATATTTAATTTTCTGAATAAGACGTATAATAAAATGAATATCTTAAAAACTAAAATACAAAATTAATGTTGGGTAATGACTAGAATATAGTATGCACTTTTGAATTCATACATTTTTTGAAAAATTGTATTTTCAAAAAAAAGATGTTGTTTCAGTATGAACTTGAAGAGAAATTTAAGGAAAATATTAAGTTGTGTATTTTGTGTTTATCTCATTGTGTGATGCATATTTTCACGATCTGACAGCAGAAATCGAATCAGCAGAGCCAGAAGAATCAGAGTTACGGGGGAAATAGGTTTTGAACGCTTAGATAGGGGTAAAATCAGACTTTATGAGGTATGTTGTAATAATTATAGTTTGTGCTGTAATATGTCATGAGATCAGAATATGAAGGGAGTTATATATGTGTTATTGTCACAGGATATATGTGAGGATAGCTCAGTAGAGTCTGTAAAATAGTTTAGTAGAAGAAAAAGTTATATAAAGAACAAAAAATTAAAAATAAAACATTATTAAGTGAAAAACCAAAGTTTACCTATTTTATGTAAGGTTTTGTCTTTTGGGTGAGGTATATGACAAAAAAAGATGGATAATGCACTCTTGTCGGTCAAACTTCCGCGTTGCAAGTTAAGTGAATGCGGAACATTGTTCCATTCTGGGAGACATGCAGAGGCAATGTCTCCCAGGATGAGACACTGCGACCGACAGGAGTGCACAATACACTCTTGTCGGTCAAACTTCCGCGTTCAAGTTATGAATGCGGAACATTGTTCCATTCTGGGAGACATGCAGAGGCAATGTCTCCCAGGATGAGACACTGCGACGACAGGAGTGCACAATACACTCTTGTCGGTCAAACTTCCGCGTTCAAGTTATGAATGCGGAACATTGTCCATTCTGGGAGACATGCAGAGGCAATGTCTCCCAGGATGAGACACTGCGACCGACAGGAGTGCACAATACACTCTTGTCGGTCAAACTTCCGCGTTCAAGTTATGAATGCGAACATTGTTCCATTCTGGGAGACATGCAGAGGCAATGTTCCCAGGATGAGACACTGCGACGACAGGAGTGCACAATACACTCTTGTCGGTCAAACTTCCGCGTTCAAGTTATGAATGCGGAACATTGTTCCATTCTGGGAGACATGCAGAGGCAATGTCTCCCAGGATGAGACACTGCGACCGACAGGAGTGCACAATACACTCTTGTCGGTCAAATTCCGCGTTCAAGTTATGAATGCGGAACATGTTCCATTCTGGGAGACATGCAGAGGCAATGTCTCCCAGGATGAGACACTGCGACCGACAGGAGTGCACAATACACTCTTGTCGGTCAAACTTCCGCGTTCAAGTTATGAATGCGGAACATTGTTCCATTCTGGGAGACATGCAGAGGCAATGTCTCCCAGGATGAGACACTGCGACCGACAGGAGTGCACAATACACTCTTGTCGGTCAAACTTCCGCGTTCAAGTTATGAATGCGGAACATTGTTCCATTCTGGGAGACATGCAGAGGCAATGTCTCCAGAAATGATACCGTCATACCAACACCAATTTATTCCTTCTTTCCATTGTCATACAATTCAATATTTTTATCAATCTTAATCAACTTTTTTTATTCTTCTTTAATTCAATTTATCTTTCTCCTAGAATATCTATTCCTTTAACAGACATAAAATCACTAATCGAGCTTTTTCAATACTCAAAATTTCATATAAATCTTTGTTATTTTTTCTCTCATCACTTATTTTATTAAATATACATATTTCCTCTCACATATCCCTCTTCATATATATTGGATTTCAACACTCATCTATTAGAACAATATATTTTCGCTTAATCTCATATTATTCATTAACAATCTTTCATCTTCTTATTTCTAGTTAACCTACCAATATATATATAGAATATATGCCCAATTACATATTCAGATACATTAAATTCAAGAAATTCTTCTAATATTATTCTCCTATTCATAATAAAATCATATTTAGTCTCACATCACAATTCTATCAGTTCTCCAATATCATATCATATTGGTAACATCACATATATCTCTTATAATATCACTTAAATTTGTATTTTTTTATTAATTATATTTAATTAGTTCTACATTCTATTATTATAGAGGTTTGACAAACTCATCAATAGTTAAAATCAAAATCTATTCAGAACTTTGAATCTAATGAAAATTACATTTCGATATCTTTTTGCAAGCTTAATTTTTTGTATTATCTTAAAATACATTTAGTAATGTTATGTACGTATTGAATTCAAATTATAGCGCAGTAACATGCAACTCATCTTGAGATTCACATTTCATTTTCACAATTATTGCATATATACATCAATAACATATTGTACTCATATATCTACACGACTCTAAACTCAATGACATCAAATAATGCTTGTAATATTTAAAATAATTTTTGCATTTTTGATTCTCAGCTTAACTTCTATAAATGTCACCAAAACATTTCATTCCTACCAAGAAATAATATATTAGTAATTAAGCGTTTATTACCATTGTTACTCACATCATATTAATTCATTTTTGTAATTTTTTAAATAAATGACTGGAATCATAAACCCTATGTACCCATATCAACATGTTAAAATTTCAAAGTCTGAAACTTAGTATACATTGAGTTTCATGAAATCAGATAATCTCGTAGATTTCTTAAATATTATATATTGCTGGCCAATAATGATGCAGCATGATTCTCCATCATATCAGCATTCTAAACATATCTTTATTTTGTCAATTGGCATAAATTAAGGGTGCTTTTCAGGCGATAAATGGTATTTTAGATACCTGGGGAGGGGGTCATGAAAAAGTTGCAAAAGTCAAAAATTGAGGGTATTTTAATTGATAGAAAGATGAAGTTAGTTATATGTTAGAATAATCAAAATTTTGTTTGCATACGTTATGGCCATCAATCTATAACCCTTTTAAAGTTAATTTCGAGTTGAAAAAATCGACAATGGGTTTTTAAACTGTTATAAATCTGCACTCGCATTACTCTTCTATTACCGTTTTTTACTCTAAGAGAAAGCTATTATCGCAAATCATTTCATTGTCTTATTCAAAACTTATCAAAAACTTGGAATCAATGATCCAATAAATCCCAATTTCCATACTTAACAAAATCCACGATATTTTAGCATTTATATTGAGTCACGTATTGACCAAATTTGAAAGCACGTTACGAGTTTATTTTTTTACGAAGTGAAATCCAATAAAATGTGCACATATCATCTCATACAATAAGATATTCGACTTAATTAATCCGACAAAAATACTATTGAATTATGTCACTTTTAAGCACGTTGAATTTTTGATCTTAATTATGCAGAAATCATGGTATACATACTATGATATTCCTCATCTCATACTAGCAGTTGTTACTTTACTTATGGCACTTGGTACAAGTTTTATGAAACCAGATCCGCTATTTATTCCAAATAACGATTCTAATTCTCAATTTCCCCATCTCGGAAAGAACACAGTACCAACATGGTTTGCAATAGTATTAGTTGTTGTTATTGGTTTAGTTACTTTTATCGGTTTTTATATCTTTACACTTAAATTCCCAGATCATATTCGCAAATTTAATATATTTAGCGCAATATTTAACTTTTTTGCCGTCTTAGGTATCAGTACAACAATAGTTAACATTCTTAAGAATTTTGTTGGAAGAGCTCGTCCCGACATGTATTCTTTATGCGGAAATTTTGTCGGAGAAGAATATTCTTCATGCACTGCAGATGTCTCGCGTAAAGTATTTGATGATAACTATCGTTCATGGCCTTCTGGTCATTCTGCTGCTGCTCTTTCAGGTTTTATGTTCCTTGCGCTATTCGTACAGCGCGTCATGAAATTTTCCAAATCTCTAGGAACGTTTTTTGCGGCTCTCTATATTCTACTTGCGTTATATATAGGTGCAACAAGAATTAGAGATTTCAAACATCATCCAGACGATGTACTCGCAGGATTCTTCTGCGGATATATTATAAGCAGACTTGTATGGGAACAATGCAGAAAGAGTTTATTTAAAAATATTGATAATAAAGTCGAAGCTGAGCGCGAGCCTGATAATGAAGATGATCAAGCTTTAAATAATCAAGAGCCAAAGCCTTGAATTGTATATGTTTTTGTTAATAAACCTTTACTATTGATTATAAGATTTATCAACTTTTGTAAAATTCACAAAATATTATTTTAAAATTGAAATTCCGAGCCAATATCACATTAATGTGACATTTATGTTTTCCAAAAACATAAAATGAATTAGGAAATTGTCTCATCTCTGGGAAAATTAACATGATTTTGTAAGGTATCTCTCATATTCTAACAGTACTTCAATTCCAGTAGAAAGAAATGCTGAATATATCATTTTAAATTTCAATTCATAATTTTTACATTAAAGGATCTAAAAAACTACACTTATTTCATAAAACCTTACAAAAGCATTACTGTTTATTCTCGGTTTCTGATTTGATGTCATCCAAAAATCCTTTTTGTTCTTCGTCTTTCTTTCGGTCTTCTAAGAATCCCTTCTGCTCTTCTGGTGGTGGTGGAGGCTTATTTAAGTGCTGGAATATTGAATAAAGAATAATTCCAACCATTGATATTGCAATACCAAGCAAAGTCTTATAAAACTGCGCCCTTTCGACTTTCTGCTCAGGAGGGAATAGAACAATTCCGAAAATAAGAATTAAAATTGTTTTCAAATGTCCTACAACCTGATACGTAATTGGTGAAGTTTTTCCGACCAAAGCGAAGAAAGAAACGTTAACTCCAACAGCTAATAAGCAGCTAACAATAATAGTAATTATTTCATTTCGAGTAAATTTGTGTTCGAGAATCGTATTTATTCCGAAAAATTCTGTACTGACAGCTGAGATAGAACTAAGCACAAATTGTGGAAGAGCAGTAGCATGCTGACATGCTGGACCTGATATACCATAATTCTTCTGTTCTAAATTACTTTTAGCTTGGAAACCAGTTGTGGCTATAATGGCAAGGACAGCAAATATTGTGCCCGTTGTATTAGCTTCTACATCATTTACTGAGTAAAGATAAACACCTATTAACAGGATTGTAAGCGAAAATAATGTGTTTAATGGAGTTGTCTTTTTGAGCGCAATATAATTGAAAATAACTAACGCAGGGATTGTGCACATTTTGGATAGTTGATAGAAACCGACTGAGTTAGTAGCGAGATTTAAATTCATGAATACAACGGAACCAACGCCCCAGAGAGCCAACAGCCATCTTCTAGTAATAGGAAAATCTTTAGCACTTTCAATTATATTAAGTTTTTGCATAATTGTTAAAATAATATAAGTACATAAGAAATGAATCGATGTTAATGTACCCATGTATGTGAAATGATATAATCTTGTAAGGCTTTTGTTGACTGTGATGATAGCTGTTGAGAATACAATGCTTGAAATCAACCAAGCTAATACGCTCAATTCCATCTTTAATAATAATGTATTATTTTACGTGAAATTATACATTCATTTCATCATATTATTCAATAATGGACTCATTCTCCATATCTCTTCAAAATCTTCTATGAATTCTTTATCAACTTTGTATTGAAAGGCCATTAATAGTAGAAATTCAATATAATCATTATGTGTGTACTAAATTTGATAAAACTATGCTCTTAACTTCTAAATATTAAATTATCTTATCGTTTTAGACTTTTTTTATTGCCGTTGAGTTATTGTACACATATGATGTTTGTCAATATCTAGATCAAAAGTTAGCTTTAGACCCGATTTTTCTTTTAACTGGCAGGATTTTCAATTCAAAAAGTGAAAAAAAGTTTTTTTTTAATGTCCGATCAAGACCTTCTTCCAAATAAATATAGTGAATTGAGAAGTATCCACAGACACTATATCGATTGCTATATTGCATTGTATCAGTTAAAAACTAAAGACGAGAAAGAATTAAACACTTTTTACACAATGATCAAATCAGATTTAATTCATTCAAATAAATGTCATCCTTATGATGTTGTAAAAGATATTTTAAATATCATTCCGTTTAACAACCGCTATACAAAGTCATACTTGAAACTTGCGAAAGATTTATCTGATGATTATCAAGTAACAGAAGTCAGAGATATTCCAACTATTTCTAACTACTTGTTTTATAAAGAATATGGAATTATTTTAGACAAAAATTCAGATTTCAAAAAAATTACATCAGAGAATTTGGAGTTTCATACAAAAGACACAATTTACAGAGCAATTATGGATAATAACCTAGAAAGCTTCATCTCATTCACTGAAAGAAATGGATTTGATAAATTTCAAAAGTTTGAAAGCAGTTTATATCCTTATGATTACTTGAATTATGATGGGTATTCATTACTTGAATTATGCTGTTATCACGGAGCAGTTGATTGTTTCAAGTTTTTAAGAACGAAATTTAACTCAAAAATAACTCAAAAATGTTTGCAATTCTCATTTTTAGGAGGAAATCCAGAGATCATGAGTGAATGTTTGAAATATCGAAAACCAGATGAAAAATGCATGGAATATGCAATTATTTCGCACAACATTGATTTTGTTACATTCTTGATGAATGAATACAATATAAATATCAATTTAGATTATTGCAGACTTCACAAAAATCTTGATTCGTTTTTAGTTTATTTCGATCAAACTAATGCTGTTGACAAATGCTTTATTAATTCTATAATGTTCTGTATTCCATCACTTTGCAAATATTTCCTTTCAAATGGTGCAAATATCAACGAAAAAGATAAAGATGGATACAGTGCTCTTTATATTGTGACACTTTATAATTATAAAGAAATGATCGAACTTCTTATATCACATGGTATAAATATCAATGAAAAAGATAAAAATGGATACACCGCTCTTCATTTTGCAGCAAGAAAATATAATCGTAAAGAAATGATCGAAATTCTTCTTTCACACGGTGCAAATATCAATGAAAAAGATACAGATGGAAACACCGCTCTTCATATTGCGACATTTTATAATTATAAAGAAACAGTTGAACTTCTTCTTTCACATGGTGCAAATATCAATGAAAAAAATAATATTGGCAAAACCGCTCTTCATTATGCATCAAAAAATAATTATAAAGAAATGACTGAACTTCTTCTTTCACATGGCGCAAATATCAATGAAAAAGATAAAGATGGAAAAACCGCTCTTCATATTGCAGCACGCAATAATAATAAAGATATAGTTAAACTTCATATTTCATATAGTGTAAATATCAATGAAAAAGATAAAGACGGATACACTGTTTTTCATATTGCTGTACTTAATAATTTTAAAGAAACAACTGACCTTCTTCTTTCACATGGTGCAAATATTAATGAAAAAAATAACATTGGTAGAACTGCTCTTCATTTCGCAGCAAGAAAAAATAATCGTAAAGAAATGACTGAACTTCTTCTTTCACATGGCGCAAATATCAATGAAAAAGATAAAGATGGAAAAACCGCTCTTCATATTGCAGCACGCAATAATAATAAAGATATAGTTAAACTTCATATTTCATATAGTGTAAATATAAATGAAAAAGATAATTACGGACAAACCGCTCTTCATATTGCAGCATGGAATGGTTGTAAAGAAATCGCAGAACTTCTTATTTCACATGGTATAAATATCAATGAATAAGATAAAGATGGAGAAACAGCTCTTCATATTACAGCACGCAATAATAATAAAGATATAGTTAAACTTCTTATTTCATATACTGTAAATATAAATGAAAAAGATAATTACGGACAAACCGCTCTTCATATTGCAGCATGGAATGGTTGTAAAGAAATCGCAGAACTTCTTATTTCACATGGTATAAATATCAATGAATAAGATAAAGATGGAGAAACAGCTCTTCATATTACAGCACGCAATAATAATAAAGATATAGTTAAACTTCTTATTTCATATACTGTAAATATAAATGAAAAAGATAATCACGGACAAACCGCTCTTCATCGTGCAGCAGAATATAATTATAAAGAAATCGCAGAACTTCTTATTTCACATGGTATAAATATCAATGAAAAAGATAAAGATGGAAAAACCGCTCTTCATTGTGCAGCAAGAAAATATGATGGTTATAAAACAGTCAAATGTCTTATTTCACATGGCGCAAATATCAATGAAAAAGATAAAGATGGAAAAACCGCTCTTCATATTGCAAGAGAACATGATTATGAAACGGTCGAAATTCTGCATGATGCCACATACTGAGTTTAAAATATGTGTGCTATAAAAACTCAATATATAAATTAAAATCGAATAAATAATATATCAATATAGAATCATTTTCACAAGAAAAGAAGAATTCGTCTAAAGACCGAAATTTTATATATTTACTTGCATAAGCAAGATAAGTTTAATGTATTAAGCATGCCTTCACCATGCCAGATTTAAAACTTTTGATATACTTAAATTTACGCCTGTTACCCTATGAGTGTCATTGAAAATTAACCTTAAACATGTGAATTGAAGCCATGTCGTAGGGGCGTAAGTTCACCCTTAATCTTCTACTTTCAGTGAGAGATAGTGAAAAAAAAGGTCGACAATTTATTAATCGAAACTTTAATGAAAGAAATAAATCAAATAAAATAAATAAGATATTCAAAATAAAAATAATCCGGAAGAAGTTATGGAATTCTTACATCTTCTTCTTTTTAGCTGCAATTTCAGCTGCCTTCTGTTGAGCAATTCTTTGAGCCATTGCCTTTGTTGCATTTCTATCAATAACTCTGCTAACAAATTCGCCTTTGTCGCCCTTTTGTCTTTGCTGTTTGAGAACTTCGCCAAGCTTTGGCTTAATGATTCTCTTGGATGACTCGGTTTCTCTGATATCGAAGTTATTTTCAGCAGCAAATTTAGATGCGACAACTTGTGCGTTGCAAATCTGCATGAAATCGTAGTCTTCATCATCTAACTTCGACTTGATGAGAGTTATCTGGTTCTTGATCCAATCCAATACTTCTGTTGGAGAATTTGTATTAATTGGTTCTTTTTGAACAAGTTGCATCTCATCTGCAAGGTGGTAGATGCCAGAAACAACAGATTCTTTAAATTGGATGCTTGCAAGTTTCTCCTTTTCTGCTTCTTGTAATTTTTCATTTTCTGTCAAAAGAATCTTTTTGGCTTCTGAAAGAAGTCTGTTACCACCAACACCTTTATGAGATGTGTATTCAGCTTCATCTATTGCTGAACGTTTCTGAGCTGCTTCTTTGGCTAATTGTTCATTTACTGCTTTGAGATCTTCAATTTGCTTGGTTAATGTAGCAGTTGTATTACGTCTTTCCTCGAAGAACTTAAGGATGGCCTCTGGATCTCCTGTTCCGAAGTATTCTACGATTTCTTCGTATTTCGATGAAACAGTTCTAAACTTCTCATCTTTCTTATCTTTCTGAGCGCGATTATTACGATTCCTGACAACAGATGCTGTTGAGTTCAATGACTGTTGTGGTTTAGCTTGTCTTGCATCGTTTGCATCTTCCATTAACGGCTGATGCAAATTGGCTTGGTATTGAGTTGTTTTTGTTTTTAGCATTTGCTCACGTTTCTCACGAGCAGCAGCAGTCTTTGCTTGTAAGTTGTTGTATTCTAAACGAGCTGCGTTCATTGAATGAACAGAATCACGAGCTATGAGCTCGAGGTCGGCAAGATCGCGTTTCTTTTGATCGATTTCTTTCTTTTGTGCTTCGATAAGTCTGTTCCATTGCATTTTTTGACGATTAAATTGATAAATAATTGCGTCGTAAATCTTAAGAAGATGCTTTGTTTCTTGGTTCTTTATCTCTGCATTGTCAAGTTTGTTTTTGAGCAAAGCAATCCTTTCGGAAGAAGAATCTGCTTGTGGAGTGGCGCCTTCAAGATTTTGAAGCTGAATTTGCAATTCTGTCTGCCTCTTAACGGCTTCTTGCTTTTTGTGTCTGTAATTATCGATTTGTTTTTTAAGTAAGTTAACTGCATGTGTTGAATGCTTAATATCAGCGTGCAAATCAATAGATCCTGTACGCTTTTGCTTTTCTTTTGTAAGCTGAGCAAGGGATGACCTTAATTGCGTGTGTTCTTTTCTTAAATCGGAAAGAACTTGTTCGTTATTTTCCAAACGCTGAACAATTGAGTTGTAAAAGTCACGATCTGTACCTTTGAGATCTCTGCCTTTCTCCTTTATGGAAGCAAGATCAGCTTCAAATGTCTCGGCAACATTGGATTTGTCTTCTTCCTGCTTATTCATCATTGATTTATTTTCAAAAAAACGAATTTTACAAATTTGAAAAAAAAAGTTTTACGTTACAAAATGGCTTACAAAGACTAACGCAATAATAACGTATTAGCGACCAAATACAATGCAGATTAACAAATAATCATGAAACATTGCTATATTTCCTACTCTTTCCACTGTCAGAAAAAAACTTTGAAATGATGGATTTTGATCAATATTTATTATGCCATTAAAATCAAAGATTAATATCTTTAGTTTACAATTTATTCAAATAGTTATTTATTTTTTAAAAGGAGCTAAATTAATTTCTTCTATTTTTTAAATTAATGACTTAAAAGCATAGCTCTTATATTATGTATTTAATACTATTTTTATTGAAATTAACTTCGTTGAATGACTCCAATTCTAATATTTTATATGCGTTCATTTTATTTGATGCTGAAAATTACATGAACTCAGAGTTTTGAGAGCATATATAGATTTGACATGTATAACGCATTTCTCATCTGTTCTTCTGCATTGATATTCATGATTTTTCTGCTGGAATGAGGATCGTTTTGATTTTTATATATAATTAATTTATATAAACTCTTCAAAACCAAATACTATGAACTAATAAGCTATTTTAAGAGCTCTAATGATTGAGTTGAGTCGCAATTCACTATTTTATTTTTGTCACCTTTTCGTAATAATATAAATGTCAAACGACCTTGAACACTTGTCTAAAGTTGTTGAAAGCTGGTGCATGGATGACGAGTTCCTCCGTATGAGGAGTAAAACAGATATCATCAATCTCCTTGATTTGTGCAATTTAAATAAGAAAGAATTCTTCGAAATTTTTAATCGATTACATAAAATTTTCGCGGCCAATGAACTCTTTGAAATCATGCAGCACACTAAAGTTAACTTTGTCAGCAATATTGACAATGCTATCGAAGTTTTAGACTTCTTTGTTAGAAAATTAGATGTAAAATTGCTTTCAGATGTTTCTTACACGATCAAAGAGGGGATGAAAGCAAGAAGTGTCTTAACAACAGACGAAAATATCAAAAATCTCAAAAAATGCAGTAAGAAAACAGAAGATTTTCCAAAGATTTATGAAATTCTTTCTAAAGCAGCAGAAGAAGGTGATGAGTTAACAATTAAGACAGCGGTTGATGAAAAATATACAGAAATTCACAGTAATTTCACTTTTGATCATGAATTAATTCTTCAAGCTGCTTTTGAAGGAAATGTAGCTCTAGTTAAGAAATTACAGAAATTTTACGCTGATATAAGGACAAGGGATAACAGTGAAAAGACAGTTCTTCACTTATTCTGTATCAGTGGAAATGTTAAAGGAGTTAAGTTCGCATTAAAGTTCATTGACGTAAACGCAAAAGATTCTTCAGGTAACACACCATTACATCTTGCTGCTCAGTCGAATAGAGCTGATGTTTGCGAATGTCTTCTAAAAATTTCGAAAATTGATAAAAATATAAAGAATAGCGCAAACAAAACACCTCTAAGAGAAGCAATGCTCTACAATTGCAAGGATGCAGTCGAAGTTCTTAAAAAATATGAATGCACAATTTAAATTTATCTATATTTTTAAATAAAATATTAATATGATAGAGATTCACATCTTTTTTTCAACACAAATGGTATTAAGCAACGCGAATATGAAGAAACACTTTTCCCGCTAAAAATATTCATCTTTTTGCTTTCTCTTCTGAGATATTGATTTTGACTTTAAAAAACGCTATCCTGGGGACTCGAACCCCAAACCCTTGGATTAAAAGTCCAAAGCTCTATCCTGTTGAGCTAGGAAAGCTTCACGATTTTTGAGCCGAATTAGTAACTATCATATTTGATTTGCACTTTTCATAACTTTTATATCGTACTTCTTCAGTTTGAATGATGGGTATCCATACGTTTGGGCTGGCAATGGAAGGCCTGTAATCACCGTCCTAGTTACTATCTTTTCCTACATCACATCGAGGCCTACTCAAATATAAATTTATAATATACACTATAATACAAGTCTTTTTTTCACAGATCATAAGCCCTTTATATCTTGCTTCAGGTCTTAGATCATCAATTTTATTAAACAATAAATATACGTTTATGAAGCTATCCACAACATTCCCAATCATCACCATTTTCATATACATAAATAATGTAACAATAAGAGATGTTTTTGGTACAGAGTGTTTCGTTATTTCGAACATTTTAATTGCAATCTATATTAATTATTATATAAAACATGTCATATGATAGAATCAAACACTTAAAGATCACAATTAATTTAAAGTTGAATGTTTTTGTAACTATCATGAAATTTTTCTAAAGTTATAATGTTCAGTGTAATGCATTAGGTAGAAAAATAATTTTATGTTTTAAATAAATCAAGAAATAAAAAATTTAATATTTTAAATCTTATTCTTAATACCAGCAACAGCATCTTCAGCAGCCTTTCTATACTTCTTCTGTTCTATTCTAAGTCTCTTTCTGATAGAATCTCTCTCTACTTCTGGGAACAAGAAAGCGGCGACCAAATCTCTAGCGACAATAGCAGAATCACCATGAGTATTTGCAGCTGTAGAAGTGAACTTTGTGATCTTCTCAGCATCTCTCTTAGCAGTAGCTGTAGCCAACTCTTCAGCAGCTGTTTCGATTGATCTGTTGATAATTGATTCGAGGTAAGATTCAGTAGTTTCGTAGTTAATTCCCATAACTTTCCTGAATGCCTCATCTTCAATTGCTTGTCTCTTGAGTTCTTCTTCTCTTCTTCCACTTTCTTCAGCCTCTCTCCTTCTTCTTTCTCTCTCTGCGAGTTTCATCATCGCGTCGATACGGCGTTCCTCCAATCTCCTTCTGAGTTGGTGGTTGAGGAATGCGAGCATTTCTCCAACGACTTTTCCTTGTGTTGTTGCAGCTTGTTCTCTCTGTTGTCTTGCCTGTTGGATGACTTCCTTCTCCTTCTCGTCTTCCGCTGTCTCTTCCGCGTCCTTGAGTGCTTCGACTGTTCTCAACTCGCGGATCAACTGGCGCTGGTTCTCCAAACAATGGTACATCTCTGATTGGAGGGCTCTGCCGCGGAGGAGGCGCTGGATGAGGATGACGGCCATCTCGCGCTCGTCGTTCTCAACACCTGGCTTGGATTCTGGTGTCGGTGGACGTGGTGGTGGCTTCTCAATGCGCTGAGCAATTTTGAGGGTCTGGACTTTGTGTTCGACTTGGCCACGCTTCTCGTCAACGGAGCGTTCGACGGTACGAAGGAATTCTTGGTGGTTGCGCTCGGCACGACGCATTGTCTTCTCCGCTTTGAGAGGAGTAACTGTTGTTTGATGATATAATTGTTCGAGCTCATCGAGAGCGGCAAGGGACTCGTCGGTTGTAATGTCGCGCTTGCCGTAGACAGCGGGATGCATGTAACACATGGCATCGGCGCGGCCTTGACGACGTAATGGAGCATATGCGCTACTGCCACGATCTGCGTAATCTGAGACGATATCGCGCTTTGTATGCTTCTTGGCTGTCATTTGACGCCTCTGTTCTGTAAGTGTACGAAGGACTTTCAGACGTTTCTTTTCGATCATTTCGACGCCTTTCTTTCTCTGCTCTTCTCTTGCTTTAAGGACAGCCTCAACACGCTCGCGACGCTTGGTGGCTTCCTTTCCTTCACGAACTTGGAAGTTATTGACAAGTAATTGAAGACGTCTTTGTTGTAGATCGACAATGGCACGCTCACGCTTAGCCCACTGTTCGACTTCAAGAGCAACAAGCTTCTGCTGGCGCTCTTCAAGCGAAATATTTTCTAATTCTTCTTCATCAAACCATTCGCGAGGTTTAACGTGATCTGTTGTATCTGGGAGCCATGGATCTGTTTGGGCTTCTGACTCTCTGTACATTGTCTGTGTCATGATGTCTACTTTTTCGAAAACTTCGTCTTCTTGTTTAGAAGTTGAATTTAATGCTTTCTCTGTTGATGTATTAGGTCCTGTATTTCCTAAGTTTTTTGCAAGTATAATTTCTGGTGGTGGGGCATCTGCGTTTGCATCTAATGTTGCATTACGAACAGGCATTGCAAAGAATAAAGGTCTATCAGATCCTGCAACATCGGTATTCTGTAATTGTACTCTGTAGCCGGATCTAGTCGTTACTCGCATATTACTGCTCTTGTAATAAGGATCATAACGATAGTCCAAGGGACGAGACAATGTCATTCCCCTCGACATTTTTGTTCGTTATATAATTTTTTTTTCTATGATTTTTTCATAATCAAGATAATATCGATCCTTATATAATGCCTTTCAAGAAAATTCGTTTTTTCACATCTATAAGATTCAAAAAATTTTATCAACGAAATTCATTATCAAGATTATAGCAAATTAACACAATGGCGTAAACACTTTCTCTTTGTTATTTATTATTCTGATTATGAAATCACTATCAAATCATTATTTATAGAAAATCTTCATCAAAAAAGTAATTAGCTCATAGATTTATCCATCAAAGTTAAATTATCATACTTAAATCATATAATAGGAGAAATTCATGCATAACTTACATTCGTGGGATGCTTTATAATTTGAAAATTTAATTTCTAGTGAGAAACATATGTTTCTTGTATAGTGCACCAGGCCTTAAAGCAACTAAAAGTGATATTTTCAAAATAATTAAACAGAAGCATCTGTCCACAAACCATTCGATTGATCAAGCTTGGATCAGTATAATGAATGGGGGGATGCATCAGACTGTAGAAAAACTTAACAATATATCCTTTCTCCCAATTAAATATTTATGAAATTGATTTCAAAATTCGTCTTGAAAACGCCTTAATAAACATAAGTATCTTATAAAAAGTCACACTAAATATTTACATAACACTAAAATACAAACAATAAAAAATTACATAAATAAAAAAAAATTATTCATCTAAAAGTTCTTGAATCCATTCACCTAACTTGAAGAAATGTTCCATTCTTGCACCATCTCCATTCTTAAACCAATCTGGTCTTAGTTCGCAGACAGAAGAGAGGTGATTATTCAGCCAATTACAAAAAGAAAAAGGACTTTCCATTTGTGCAACAACGAACAATGTTGCAAGGGTCGGCATCAACTGATTCGCTTCAGGGACAACACCATTAGCAAATAAAAACAAGTTTTCTGCATTTCCAAGTGCTTCTTCAATCAAAATTGTACAATCACAAGGGGAATCAATCTTACTTGCAGCGACTAATCTATTTGCAACAGGTTCTAGAGCTGATGTGTCGTTGATGACTTTCATCGTTTGACTATCGACACCTCTTGTTTTGATTTTTTCCAAAATTTCTTTTTTCCTTGAAATTAATTTTCTATCGGCGTCGGAACTTCCCTGTGTCCTTGAAATTCCTGTTATTGGATATTCGCTGACCAATTGAGAATGGAAGGTTCTAGCGACTAAAGGCATAAGATCCTCTAGCCATTGGTTACGACTATAGTAGTTATCCAAGTTCCAAACGCAGAATTGGCCTAAAGAATTAACATCATTTGCAAAAGTGGTCTTTCTTTTTTCAGCATCGCTCAAAACATTATTTTCTTCACGCATTTGAGCGATGATCCTGGAGACTTGTATGGTCTCTGATCTTCTAAGACTTGCCTCGCACATAGTAATCATCTCTGTAAGCTGTTTGGAGTCTCCTACAAGGTCGACCATGGAATTTGTGCACTTTTCTAGCTCTTTGTCGAGATTTTCAAGGACTCTGTCATATTCAAAGTATCTCTGTGACAATGTGCTCTTTATCGCTGATAATCTTGGCGATAAATTGTAGATATTATAATCTGGATTTGTCTGTGTGAGGAGTTCTAACAAGAGATTCAAAGATTCATCGCATCTGTACCTCTTTCGCTTTGATTCTATGGAGAAAGAGAAGATTGAACAGCCAGGAATCGAAGAAACTAAAGTTGAAATTGCTTCTTTAGCGGCAACATCGGTTTCAAACCTGGAAAGAGCCAATAAAGCAATGGCAGAGATTGCGGATTCATCAATTTCAGGACCATAATTAGTTGGCTGGGTCGGATCTAACAAAACTGCAACTAAATTTGCAATAATTCCTCGTTCAAAGGCTTCATTCTTGCGCAATCCTGTTAGTGATGGATCGCAAAGTGTTAAAATGAAATCTTTGAACCCTTCAAAGTTGATTTCTGGAAGATTACAGGCTTCAGGCACAACTCCGTATAATTTTGGATGTTGGAGAAGCGGGATCAATATGCAGTGTATAATTACACTGATAACTATTGTAAATTTAACAGGAAACTTTCTTGATAATCTTTGGAATAAAAATCTTAAGAAATTAGGCCAGAATGGAACAGCAGCGGTCATTTCCATTAGGAATGAGGCAAAGAACTTTGAATACTGCATTTTTGTAAGCTCTTCCGATGGTTGGATTTTCAATTGATTATAAAATTCGTAAACTCCTGAAAGATGCTTGAAAATGAATTTGTTAAACTGTGGCATTAGAAAAAAACGAGTGAGTACAGCGCATAAGAACGTTTTATGAAAATTTGCAATAAAAGGCTCAGGATGAACGGCTTCTACGTCAAATGCCATACTGACAGCTTCTATAAAATCAGATATATTTGATGATCCTGTGAAAAATCCAAAAATTGGAGGAATTACGTAAGTTGCGAAAAAATCAAGAGGTAAAAATGATAAAAAGAATAAATTGTATTCGCTATGTTGATTGATTTGCGGATCTAAGTTAAGTCTGTATATGAGTGTTTGTCTATTATCGATAATTGACTTGATAAAGTTAATAACGACTGAATCTGTTAATTCGCTTAATATTGTATTCTTAATTGAGAATTTTGCAAGTGACTGTTCGGTGGATAAACGTTTTGAGATCCTTTTATAGACTAAAGGGCCTCGATACAAGAAATGATTTTGATATGATAACAATTTTCGCTTTAAATCTTTATTAGACTCCCGCATTTCTTCATATTGCTTGTTATATGAAGCTAACTCCGCTGATTTTGCCCATAATTGATCATAAATCTCTTGTGAAATATTGGGTAAAAGCGGATGCATTTTTTTAAAAAATAAATTCGGAATCAACTTGCTATATACAGCACAAAAATGACATTAAATTGTAATATAAATTTTCGTCTGATTAATTTTCTTGATATTTGGGGTCTAAAATTATTTTATTTTGGGTCCATATTGACAAAAATGCGTAGATTCTTAGATTCAGCCTTAGCAACAATAGGATATCCAACAGTAGAACCCACATTAGATCCACGCTATGATATCGCAGCGAAAAACTTTTCCATCCTTCAAGAAGATACTTCACAGATTATTACAACTTTAGCACAACTTCAACAACAAATCAGTAATGTAAGCAGAATTTGTGCTCGACTCGGATCAAATCTTACTGTCTGGTCTGAAGAATTTCCCGAAAACGTTAAAAATGAAGCAATAACAATTGAAAGTTTCGGAAAACAATTTGACAATCTTACAACAAACTTTTTCGTACCACGCATAGAACCTCTTATCGTTTCTCCCTTAGCAAAATTCCAAAGTGAAGTTATGAGATTAGTAGAAGTAAGAAAACAACGTGATGAAGCAGTAAAACAGTATGATCACGCAAGGGCAAATTATAAGTACCTGTCCGAAAAGAAATCCTCTGGATTTGAAAAAGCGGAAGCAGAATACAAACTTACAAAAGAGAACTATGAAAAATACAATGAAGACTTCATCGAAACAGTTAAGAAGTTGATGAATCAACGTGAAAATGGCTTAGATACACCAGCAAAGACTTTAATTGCAATTTTATCTCAGTTTTTGATGCAATTATTTAGAGAAGCTCAGAAATTTAGAACAACATTCCCAGAATATGTTCTTAACGGCGGAACTGTCGAAAGAAAGTCAATTAAAGACATCGTCTTTGCAGATGAGCCAATTCCAGAGGATGTCCAGTATCCTGTTGCAGAAGATACCCCACCAGCCTAATTTTTCATGTATGATATTAAAATCTCTTTTAATATAAAAATAATTTTCTTTTTTTAAGCTGAAGAATGGCGAAAAACTTCTGAGATTTGATCATATAATCTTCCTCTCCTCTAATTTGTTTCAACTATCATTTTTCAAAAATATTATTATAATTTTAAAGTCTTTGAACAAAATTATCTTGAATGTCGAATGCACTCGAGCTCAGATTAAAGATAGTATGCTCATTCAAGCAGATTGAAACAAGATAAAAAAAAATTGAAATTTTATTTTAAAAATTCATTAAATATATAGGAGATTAACTTTAAATTGTTCTTTTTTGCTGTTCAATTATAGTGTAAAATTATCAAATATATTTGTTTAATTTGATTTTATAGACACTTGAAAATTTTATTTACTCCTCATCAGCCTTCTTTGTCTGTGCGTGAGCCCGCATACGTTTCTTACGGCCGAGCTTCTCTGTTGTCATGACGGATGTATCAGCGTACTTGATGTTCTTCTCGGATTCCTTCCAGACGAGGAAAGCTGGTTGGTTGACGAGCTGGTTCTCAACAGAGATGTGGCGGTGGGAAACAAGTGTACGAGCATGGTGGACAGAGTTAGCAAGAGCGCACTTGTGAACCTGTGTCTGAAGACGGCGATCCATAAGATCGTTGACAGTGAGAGAAAGGACATAATCGAGCTTTTGCTTGGACTCATCGAGAACGCCGAGCTTTGTAAGGCGGCGAAGAAGAGCAGCACCTTCGAAGATACGCTTTGAATCGTTTTCTGGGAGTGTAAGAAGCTCACGAGCGGCGTGGCGGATCTTGGAAAGTGTATATGAAACGCGCCAGATCTCACGCTTGTTCTTAAGGCCGTATTCACCAACGACCTGGAGCTCCTTGTGCATACGCTCCTTCTCGTATGGACGCATTGGTTTCTTGAATGTACGGGAGAAGTTACGGCTAGACATTTCGCTAGAAAGGGTCGACCAAACCCCCAAGTTTACAAAAACTCTCAAATAACGTCCAACCATTAATCGATCAAATAGTTAGAAAATATTAACCTATTTTATCTTATCATTACATTTATCAACTTATTAATTTAGATGGCCATTAATAGATTATATTGGATTTACTCTTTCACATGATGAATTGTAGCACTGAGGTTTTCTGCCGTAGTCCTATATATTTAGTGATGTTAAAGAACAGTTGACTATAAAATGATAATATCTTCAATATCCTTGAGGGTAATATGAAAATTGGAATCAAAATATATATTTTTAAAAGAAAATATAACGATTCACCCTATTTTCTAATACATAATTACTCAATATAAAAAATATATCATCAAATTCTGAAATTATGATGAAAAGATAATAAGTATCAACATGTTAGAAAGTATCAAATAAAAGGGAAAGGAAGTTTGAGATTTTTGTCCTCAAAAAATTCAAATATCAAAATGTAAATTAGATTGTTCAATAATTTTCATATTAAAAGTAATAGCATGTTTCTCTCATTCAAAAAACGAAGAAATACTATTGATTTAGGAATTTGATTATATTGTTCTCTAAAAAATTAAAAGATTTCTCACCAACTCGTTGCTTACATGCACTGGCATGCAAGTGGTGAATCGGCTTTGTATAGGAGAGTCTTAGAGCACCGTAATCAAACTATTAACCCCGGCCACTTGACCTCCACTTGTATAGTGAAGAGCCAGCGGTTATTGTAAAACAAAATCAAAGAGTCACTTTTTTGAATTTTTTTATAAAAAAATGATTGGAAATTTAATTTCGAAGCTAAAAAGCGTTATTGACTCTTTTCCAGAGCTTACTGCTTTAACAAATGAAATCGATAACATACAGAAAGCAGAAAATAAGAGATTAGCTGGATTACAACAAGCTTTTGGTTCAAATTTATCCGAATTTGCAAAATCGACCGGAGATGAAATCAAAGTACCGTTATTGGAACTTCAAAATAGTGCAAATATGCAAGTATCTTTACTCAGACGTCTTTTAACTTCAACTTCATCTTTTCCATCTGATATTAAACAAATATCTAGCTTTCATGATAATATAGAAAAGCATAGAGCAGCATTACAAGCATCTCAAACAAAGTTACAACAAAAAGAAAAAGAAGTTCAGAAAATGTCTGAAATGCTTGATAGAGAACAGAAAAAACAGTTAACACTATTTGAGAGGTCTAATACACAAGCGAAACTTGATGAATGCTCATTGAAAATGCAAGAATATATAGATGAAAATCAAAGATTACTTGTTGAAGTTCATCAGCTTGAATATGAATATAGAAAAACCATTATGCAGATAGTTATAACTGCATACGAAACATTTTCCACTGCAAATTATCGTGCTTACAGCGAATTTCCAAATACTTCCTCAAAAATCGAAGCTTTTGCTAAACAAATTACTGCACAAACTGATATTTCGTGCGAAGACCTACAGAAACAGCTAAATATATATGACCATGAACTTGATTTAATCAAGAACGAAGAAGATCCAAAACCAAGATAATAATCATGACATTACTTACATTTGTTTATATATTTTTAAAAATTTTTGTTAGTATATTTATAATTTTATAATTTTTTGCTTGTAACCAAACAAATCATATAGAAACATTCTTTTTATATCAATGTGATTGCATTTTCAATATAGAAAGTTCTGAAATTGTTAGATAATTCTTTCGATAATTTTGAAAATAAAGCAAAATCATATACATGTCACTCAAAATTTTTGTGATGATAAATAAGTAATCCAATTCCAGAATATCATTAAAAAAACGCATTATCGTTTAACGTTTAGAATCATTCGCAAAAAAACAGGAAAAAATGGATTCATCAGCGGATGTAAATCTTCCATATGTCTTTTGGTTCAATGAAAAGATGTATGAAGTTGATGGCGATACTTTCGCAAAGCTTTCAAAGAAATTCCCAGAAGTTCGTCAGGAAAATCCAAATCAATTCATAGTTTCTCAGAATTATAATCCAGAAACATTCGAAGCTTTCCTCGCTGCATGCCAGCTCAAGCCTTTTAACGTTGATAAAAATAACGCATTCGAGCTCCGTCAACTCGCACTTGAATGGAAAGTTCCAACATTACAGAATTTCGTTGAAAACTACATAGAAGAGAAGAAACTTACTCCACCACCAACAATTGATTACTTAGGAATCCTTATTGAGCACGTTGCTGATAATTGTGATACATATCAGGATTGGATCAACGTTGCTAACGATTTCAATAAAGTTCTTACAGATCCACGCTTCGAGCAGCTTCCTGCCGAAGTTATTTTCCAAGTTCTTGCAATGGCTGATAGAAAAGGAGTAAATCAGCTTGCTCTTATTGAATTCGTTATGAAATTATACGATTCCAATCCAAACAAAGCAGTACCACTTATGCTTCGTCTTGATTTCTCTCTTCTTTCAAAAGAACAACTTGAAAAAATATTTAATAACAGACTTACACACGAACAGAACATTTCATTCTTCATTGCATCTACATTAAGTGCCGTTGATAATAAGGTAGAAATTGCTATCAGAAATATGCAAAAACGCCGTTTAATCGAAATGACTGTTCTTAAAAACAATATTCGCAGAAAACGAGAGCTCGCTATGCAGCAGCGTAGTGAGGAATACCAACGCGAGGCAGAAGAGCTTCGTGCCGAAGTTGCTCGTCAACAGAGGATGATTGATGAATTAGAAGGCCTCGTACAAGAACATCGTGACCGCCTTTCATCAGAAGAACGTCGTGTTACTGCCAGAAGAACCCCAATTGCCGACGATGCCCTTGAAAGAATTAATAGTTCAGTTAATTCCGAAATTGAAAGGCTCGATGAAGAAGCAGAGAAGCAAAAGATGGACTTCTTCACGAGGATGGACAGAATGGCCTTCGATTCCCCAAGAACTGCTAAGCAATTCTTTACATCTGCTGCAGAAAAAAGTGTCAGCCAAACAACAAGAGCACAGTCACTTGCAAGAAGTCTCAATGCACTTACTACAGAGACAGATGCTGCTGCTTCGCAGACAAAGGCTGAAATGGACAGAGTTTCTGCTTATCTCAGTGCAAAGATTCTCAAAGACAAGCTCAGATACGACCAATTCATCAGAAGAACTACTCAGCGCCACAAACCATTCGATTCTTCCAAGTTCTACGGATCTACGCCTTCACAGGTCAAATCTGCAGAAGAAGAGCTTACAAAGATAGAAGCTGCACTCGACAGACTCTGCCCATTGAGACAGAGTCAAGCAATGTCACCGCCAAATTCACCACAAAGAGGATAAAAAAGAAGTGTTTTATTTTTACAAATAATTTAATTTTTTTTTAGGGTGCGTTTATCACTTTCATTTTCAGAACATCTATTGTTTGCGAAAATGCAGAGATTCATCTATAATTCGTTTTAAACTGTGTAAATTAGAAAAAAACTGCTTTCAGGTTTTGATATTTGATAATTTTGTTAAGGGTGCACTTACCACTTTCTGACACTATCTCAATTTTTTTGACACACAAGCTTTATATCCTAGTTTTCTAAGATCAAAAATTAATGTTTTGGGTCGGGAAAAAGTTATTACAAATCATTATATTGCATCTTATATGGCTGTTATACTTTTCGACTATTTAAATAAAGATATATTGATTTTTGCATAGCATACCAGAAATTGGTAAGTACACCATTAAATGCTTTGCGGATTGCGCCCAACTAGGATTTCCAAAGGAAATTATGATGATGAAGACATGTGTAACTTCGCTGAAAGCATTTAATATATGCACTTTGTGAAATATGAAATTTTAGCATGTCTATTTTATTTAACATTAATGCTGAGGTGATGATTGTCCATCGTCATCTTTTGCATTGATATAAGCACCTTGCAATGTCTATGAGACAATTTTGTCCATTATATTATCTTTTAAACATTCTATGATAATGCCAACATATTGATCGATAATTAGAAGACATATTCATAGCATTCATTCAGTCCATTGTAAATGCTGTTTAATACAATATTAGTATAAAAACCATTGATATATTAAAAAAGTTAAAAACCAATATATCAAAATGAAAATATAGAGTTATTTAAACTCAAATTCAATAAAATGTAAAAGTATCAAAACTTCATTATTTATATATGGAATTCATTGATAAATGATTTTGTAATCATTGATATATGATTTATTGTACAGTTTAAGGATATTCGTATAATATTGATTGATAATTGCCATAATTGAATCATTCGGAATTTAAATTAAGTACACCTGCTTATTGTTCAAAGGATTACTTTGCTGATAATTAATGATATATTTAAGATAGAACTTGATTTATAATAAAATGATAAGATATTAATTGATCAAAATTTAATAATGAAATAATTTCGATAAATATATCAAATATTCTTTTAATATCATTTATATAAAGAAATATTAGCCTTTCATCAATTTTTTAACTTTCAAACATCTTTGAAAGTCTTTCAATTTTCCGGTTTTCAATTATAAATTTGATAATCGCAACTATTGATTATAATAATTGTATTAGAAATATTGGAATTTAATCAAATCGTAAATCTAAATCAAGGAGACAGCTAAAAAATTCCCTACAAAATTCGCGAGTAACCGTTCTATCTATTCAATTTTTTTTTCATTGAAATAGAATAGTCGTCAGAAAAATTCAAATTCGCGAGCAACCGTTTTATTCAGCCGTCAGAAAAATTTAAATTCTAAATAATTAATAACTAATTCAAATGCAAATCATTTCCATTAAAGCATGCCTTCTAGCAATGCTTCAACTCATAGGACAACAGATAATCAATCTGTTGCTTCGTTAAAAGTTCAAACTGACGAAAATGATCAGAAAGCTGCTAGAGCTTCATTATATAAAGAAGTATTTCGCGATTGGAAAAATGTATTGGCAGTAATTCCATCCTTCTTAACAGGTGCCGAGTTGATTTTAGTATTTTTCTTCTTTGGAAAAATTCTTAATATAATTACATTTAATGCACTTGTTCCTAATCCAAAAGCATATGATCGATGCTTAACCTATATATATGCTCTAATTGGAGTTTCCTTTGCACAAGCTTTGCTTAAATTCTTAAATGCTTATTTATGGACCAGAATAGGATCAAAACTCATTAATAAGATCAAAAGAGAATTATTCAAAAGCATGATGCAAAACGACATTACATTCTTTGATACAAATTCAATAGGAAGTATCTTGACACTATTATCACAAGATGCAATGCTAGTTCAGAATGCATTTGGGCCAGAAAAAGGACTTCAGTTATCATATATAGGGCAATTTCTAAGTGGCATCATTTTTGCATTTGTTTATTCATGGAGACTTGCTTTTATGGCCATGGCATTGATTCCAATATTTTTACTATTATTATTTGTATTTATGCCAATAATTCTCAAGATATCATATACAAGTTATTTATATGTGTCTAAATCCATAACAATTGCCGAAGAAGCTCTGTTATCAATTAGAACAGTAATAGGCTTCAATCAAGAAGAAAATGATACTAAGAGATTTCTTGATACTCACCATATGGCTACAAAGAATGAAAGGAAATTGAACTATTTACTGTATGGTTATGGTACTCTAATCAATCTAATTCTTTATGCAATGAATTTAGGTATACTTTATTATGGCTCACATCTTGTTCAAAAGTCTCTCAAAAGCGATGGAACTTATGGATTTGGAGTCGGTGATTTTCTTTCTTGTTGGTCTTTTTGTTGGTTAGGATGTATGGGTTATCTCCAATTCCAAGGATCATTTCAGAGCGAACAGAAAGCGATTGCATCAGGTTCCAGAATTATCAAGCAAACAAAAGCCCAGCCTTCGATTCCATTTGAAGGCGGTGATGAGCCAGAGTTTCTGAAAGGTGAAATTGAATTCCGAAATGTAACATTTAGATATCCAACAAGATCTGTAAATGCCCTATGCAATGTATCATTCAAGATCAATTCAGGTGAGATTGCTGCACTAGTAGGTCATTCAGGTTCTGGAAAATCTACATGCGTTCAATTGATTGAAAGATACTATGATGTTAATGACGGAATGATTTTGATTGATGGAAAGAACATTAAAGAATACAATCCTCGATGGCTTCATCGAAAAATTGGGTTGGTAGGACAAGAACCTACATTGTTTTCATCAACAATTAGGCAAAATATTATATATGGAGTTGAAAAGGCCACGAATTCTCAGATTGAAAATGCTGCAGATATTGCAAATGCAAAGAAATTTATTGAGAAGCTTGAAAATAAATATGAAACAATTGTTGGCGATAAAGGTGGAAAACTTTCAGGAGGACAACGTCAAAGAATTGCAATTGCAAGAGCAATAATAAAAAACCCACGAATTCTGATATGCGATGAAGCAACATCAGCATTAGATGCTGAATCAGAGAAGAAGGTTCAAGCAGCACTTGATCAAGCATTAATTGGAAAAACTGGCGTCATTGTTGCCCATCGACTTTCAACAATTAAAAATGCAAGCATCATATATGTTTTTGATGCAGGTTCAATTGTTGAAAAAGGAACTCATCAAGAACTCATTGAAAAACAATGGTTTTATTATAAACTTGTAATGCGTCAATTGGCCAAAATCGACACGAATTCCAACAAAAATAACCAAGTTTCAAGTGAAAAAGAACCTGTTCCGTTGAAAAAGCAAGATACCACTTCACAGTTAATCGAAAAGAATCACGCGCATATAAGTACCGATTATTCCGAATTTTCTTATGATACAGAATTATGAATAAATTTTTTTTCTCAACAACTTATCTTGTTTATATTCAACTTCTTTGCATGCAATTACACATGGTATTAAAGTATCATTTATGTGGGTTGAAGAGGTTCTTTTTATAAATGTTCATAATATATTTGATACAAGGGCCTACGAAGAAGAGCGTGAAATTCATTTCTTGTTACAAAAGCTTATGTATTTCTTCACAGCGATCAATACATGTTTCAGATTCAAATATCGAAAATAGTATCACTATTGTATGTCATGATGGTTGCCTTAAAGCTTGATCAGTTAATGCAACGGTTTTAGCTTGAGTTGATGCATATTTTGAAATGAGCCATTTACTTGCAGTTTTCAGTTTAGTTGAAAAGGACGATATCTTAGTGAATGATCTAAATACCAGTTAAGAAGAACTTATTGGCGATGTTGCTACTTTTGTTTATGAAATTAAATCTCAAAAGATAAATTCAATATTTTTTCGAAGGATATATACAATTACACATTATTTCAATTCTTATAAAGCGCACAAGTGCAAATTCTCAAGAATGGGAAGAAAGAATCAAAATTGAAATGTTTTATGCAATGTAAAAATAATAAAAACAGTATCTTTAGGTCAGGTGAGTGGGGCCTCCAGGCACTTCGTGCCCTCTAGCCCTGAAGATGTTTAGTATAACTTTGTCCGGACAAGTAAGGGTCTATCGTCGCTACAGGAAAAGTTACAGGCGTTCCAAGGAAGTATACTTTGAGAAGCCTTCTTCTGGGTCGAAAACATTATATAATGTTTCGCTTTTCACAAATTATATATGTTTTCATGTTTTGTCATGACTTCTTCGTATATGTTTTGTCATGACTTCTTCGTATATGTTTTGTCATGACTTCATCGTAAATGTTTTGTCAAGACTTCTTCGTAAATGTTTTGAAGAACTGAAGGTGTCACCAGGTCCCTCGGTCCCTCGGTCCCTCGGTCAACTAACATCTTTTTGAAAATGGTGACAACATGACATTTTGACAACAGTCCAGGAAATAAACTTCTTCTTCGTAAATGTTTTGTCACTTTTCTGTCACTTTTCAGGAAAAACATTTTTATTATTATATATAAATGAATTTTACAAAACCACCGTTACCGTTCTTTGGAAATAAGAGTAAATGTAAAGATATTCTATTGAGAGAACTTAAGAAACTACCGAATGGTCTAACATTTGTAGATTTGTTCGGTGGAAGTTTCTATATATCCCATTTGTGCCATACAATATTCCCAGACTCAAAGATTATATGCAATGACTTCGACAACTATATGGACCGTCTCAAACATATACCAGACACAAACAATATATTGAAAGAGTTAAAAGAAAAGATACCTATAGGTAAGATGGAACGTATACCATTAGATAACAAAAATATTGTGAGAGAGGTTTTGAAAAAAGCAGAATATATAGACTGGGATAGTATATCTGCTAGACTATTATATAGTGGTGCTATAAGAGTTCATGACATTGAAACACTTATGTCAAAAGTTTTATATTTAACTATACAAATGTTTTCAAAGAGAACATAGAAAAATATATTGAGGGTTATAGAGTTTGTGAGATGTCATTGGACAGAGTTGTATGAAAAATATAAAGACAAGGAAAATGTTTTCTTTATAGTGGACCGCCGTTCTATAACACATGGGATTTTCAATACCAAGTAGACTGGACTTTGAGAGACTCTTTAGAAACTTTAGACGTTATACATAACCATCCATGCTTTTACTTTACATCCGATAAAAGTGGTTTGGAACCGTTATGAGATGGTTAGAGGACATACATGACTATGAGTTTAGATATACAAGATAGAATATGAGAGAGGTCCTATAAACCGGAGAAAGTGTCATAACAAAGAAATTTTACTAGTAAAATGTGGTTTGAAATAGGACTACTTGTTTTAGGTTTTTTCCATTGTGTCATTTATTTATTTGACGTGGCAGAAAGGTACAGAGAATATGAAGATGAACCAATGCCTGCAAATGTCCAGTATATGTACTCGTAAGAGATATTTTTATCTAATATTAAATGGACGCACAGAACTTAGCGAATGCACAGCAACCTGGACAACCAAACCCAGAGAATATTCCAAATGAAGTTAGAATACAAACTGCAATGGCAAACTATGGTCAAGTGCCAACAGATGTACAAATGCAAACTGCCATGTCAAATGACGCTGCGTTAGGTTTGCCACCATGGTATGCAAATATGAGATGGAAAGAGTTTTATACAAACCCTGAAGTGGGATATAAACAACTTTATGCAGATGACGCGAACACAGGAGTTGACCCAGAATATGTTTTCTACCAGAGGAGAAACAGAATGTATGAGCTCCAGTTAAAGAATGCTATGGAACTCAACAGGAAACGTAAGAGACTAGGCGGACATTAGATTTTTACATATAGTAAAATGGGTTTCTTCAGTAAGATAGGAAACTTCTTTCGAAATGTTGGAAGAGGTATATGGAATGGAATAAAAACCGTAGGAAGAGGAATTTGGAACGGAGTCAAAAATATTGGTAAAAGAGTAGGTCAGTTTGTTGGTATTATACCTAAAGACCCTGAACCAGAAGAACAAGCTCCTGTTATACAACAGCCTGAACCTGCACCACAGTCTAGTTGGCAACCAAATCCAACACCTCAACCGTATTAAAAAATTATATTTTTACCGTTCGATAGTAGTTGTATATGAAACTAAGTTTCTAAGTAAAACGCATGGTATAATGGAACTATTCTCTTTCTTCCATCTGTTGTAAACCATACTTGAAAGTCTGAAATACTTCCACTTGGTGGTTCATATAGCTTTGTAGGTTTTTCGTAAAAGTCATTGCCAAGCATAAAAAAGAGTTTTGTGCACCAGAAAATGAAGCATGAACTATAATAGCATCTGAGTCGAAAACATTTTCATATGTTCCATTAGGGTTTTCGACTTCATAAAAGTCCGGGTGTACTGGATATTCTGCAGGCTGATTTAACATCCTCAGAAATCTATACCATGCCAAGTTGTTATATTTTGTAGAAATATAAACGTTTTCTCCAAGGTCTTCTATTCTATTGATTTTAACAGTTGCATTTTTCCTGTCATATATAATATCGAGATGGTACTCTCCCTCGTCAATGTTATACTGGTTTGCATATTCGATATAGATGTCGTTTATTTTTTCTTGAAAAGCTTGAAGAGTTGTTTCTAAGTTTACAAGCAAATTCACTTGTAAAAGTTTTCCCTGTTCAAATTTCTCATACGTACGTTTTTTTTGTTATAGTATCGAACTTCAAAACCGACTGTAAATGGGAAACCATGTATGGCTTCTGAAATGAACTTCATTCTACGAAAGCCAATAGCTTTTTGACAGATGGGTCTCTTAACCATCTTAACGGGTAGTCAAAACGATAGCCTTCATGCTTTACGGTCTCTGTCTCAAACTTTTGACCGACATTAGTAAAAAGTTCATCTAATGGTTTAGTTGTAGCAACTCTTGAATTTTCTTTTTCTATTGAAAGCATATTTTATCTAGAATAAAAATGTCAAATGAAACAGCGTCTATGAGAGAAATACAACACAACCGACAACTCATTATACAAGCTCTAAATAAGAACACAACAAACTTTTCAAACTATTCTAAGATATCTGAGTCATTGAAAGAAGGAAACTTAAAACTGACTTTAAACCCAATGACAGATGAGTTTCTGTTTCAAGACAATAAGAACCATACTGTTTGTATAAATCCAACAAAAGGAACTTTAAACGAGAAACCTATATCTGAACTTCTTTTGAAAGCAGATGTTGGCAACAAAGCTGACAAAGAATATGTAGACGATGCAATAGCAAAAGAAGAAGAAAGAGCTAACAAAGCTTATGCAACAAAAGAACATACTCATCCTGAACTAGCAGACAAAACATATGTTGACAATAAAATGTCAAGTGAAGTGACAAGAGCTGAAAACGAATATTCTAAAAAGACTCATACACATTCTATATCTGATATTACAAACTTACAAGAAACCTTAAACAGGAAAAGTGACGTTGGACATACACATTCTATATCTGAAATAACAGACTTAAACGTTAGCCTTGAAAAGAAAGCAGATAAAACATATGTTAACGATGAGTTAGCATGTGTGGCTAGTAAGTTAGAGAAGAAAGCAGATAAGGAATATGTGGATGAAAAAGATAACGAAATGAAAGAAAGGGTTGACTGGTACCATGAATGGACATCGAAGATTTTAAAAAGTAAAGCCGATACAGGATGGGTTTCAGGATGTTTAGACCTTAAAGCAGATAAAACATATGTTAACGATGAGTTAGAGAAGAAAGCAGATAAGAACCATACACATACCATTGCAAATATTACAAACTTACAAGAAACCTTAAACAGTAAAAGTGACGTTGGACATACACATACCATTGCAAATATAACAAACTTACAAGAAACCTTAAACAGGAAAAGTGACGTTGGACATACACATACCATTGCAAATATTGCAAACTTACAAGAAACATTAGAGACAAAAGCAGATAAAACATATGTCAATGAAATATACCAAAGTTTGCTAGGAACAAAAAATATTGAAACTATTGTTGGTGACTTTTCTTTCAATGAAGAAAACAAATATTTTAGATGGCAGTTTGTACATTCCTTAAAAAATGGTATACGGTATAAACTCATTCCGAAAAATAACAATGAAATGTATGTAAGCTATAAAAAGAACGATGGTACACAAGTTAAAGTTCCATTAGACAACAACTGCTACTTAAACTTATAGGAGACGAACAAAAGAAATATTTCCGAGTTTATGAAATGACAATATGACATTGCCTGACCCAGCTCCAGCACCATACTATTATGACTATGGAGATGACAACAGAACACCACATGTAGATGAACAAACGCTAACATTATATTTAGATTTTTATAGATATAAAAGATATAATGCAATAGAAAAAACGAGAATAGTATACTATTATGAAGATGACAGAAATAAATATTATAGTCAAGATTTTACCTACCCTGAAAACATAAGATTATATTATAAAAAATATTCTGACTTAAACCAGAAGAAACCTGAAATAGTTGCACTATATTTTAAGTTCAAAAGAGACAATCCTGTAATGTCTCATATGTTTGATTTAATGAACCCAGTAGGTTCTATTTATACATCTATGGAAGCAAGAGGTCCTCAAGTAATGTTTGGTGTTGGTGCATGGGAACAAATAGTCGACAGGTTTTTGTATTGTGCAAACTCTTCAAAGGAAACAGGTGGAAGTAAAACGATTTCAGGTGAAAACTTACCTGCGCACAGTCACTACATAGATTTAAGTACATCTCAAGCAGGTTGGCATAAGCATAGATATTGGGATTGGTCAGGAATGACAAAAGGTAAAGGATATGATGTTAAAGACGACGTTAAGTTTGCTATAAATTGTTACTGGGATGACACTCAGGGAGAAGGAAACCATACACATTTCGTTTCAGGATATACGCAAACAACGGGACAAAGTAAAGACTACATGCCACCTTACATGACAGTTTACGCATGGTATAGAATTGCTTAGTCGTCATTTTCAACTTCTTTAGCATATTCGTCAGGAGTTGTCTTATATTTGTTAGGAACTGTCTTTGAAAGTATACCACCTTGAACCTTAACAAGTTTGAAACGAGGTCTGACAATAGTAGTTTTATCTTCTGCTTGCAGTCTGTACATTTTGCCATGTTTGCCTAAAACTTCATAATATTCTCTTGTATACTTTCTTCTATTTTTACGAACACGAATGTGAGTACCTGTCGGGTTCCCATTGTTGTCATAGTCAATAGTATTTTCATATGGGTCGCGTTTAGGTATTTCTATTTTTACTTTGTCACCTTTCTGAAGTTTGAAGCCCGGCATTCTTTCTTGTTTGTCTCTTTTGACTAAATTATTAAATATATAGTCTTTCTCTAAGTCAGGGTTGTTTTTCATTTCTTCGGGGGAATGGTTTCCCAAACCTTTTTGTTTACGGCTATTGTAAATATTTAAAACTTGTCTCATCTTTGCCATGGAGAAGTGTCTATACTTGTCGTCATATGACATTTCATTTGCTTCACCACCTTGTGGTTGGTTTAAGTCTCTTAACATTTTTATACAACCGTCAATGACACCAAGAGCAGAATGGTTTTGGTCGACAATGAAATATTGGTTTACATTTTTTGAACGCAGATAGTTTTTTACATCATCTGATTTGAAAGAACTTTCACAGTCAGATGTCAGTTTTGTTAGATGGTATTTGTCAACGAATATTGTCAAAGCAGTTTTCACATCTAAAATATTTTTGGACCATAATGGTATGGCTTCACAGTATCTTGTGTTTTGACCAACAAATATTAGCCAGTATGGTGGTCCATCTGTTCTAACTCTCGGAATGTTTTCCAAGATATCCATAAACCAAGCATTTGGTGTTGAACTAAAGATTTTTATCATGAGTGCTTTTTTTGTTGCCTTAGAAACATAGGGGTCCTTGTTTGAATTCGTCATTTTTTAACCCATAAGAAATGGGTTTATTTGGCGCATTAGCAGGAGTTGCATCCAGATTTTTGCCCGCAGTGGGAACAATAGCCAGAGGTGTATTTGGAGTTGGAAGGAAGATTTTGAGTACATTAGGTATACTTAAAGAGAAAGCACAACCTATTATACAAACTGTACAGAAAGGTTGGGATGTAGCACGAGATGCAACAAATCTTATTCCAAATCCTGAAACAAGAGGAAAAGTTCAAGGATGGATGGACAATGTAGGAAGACAAGCAGGAAACTATTATAACAAAGCAAATGACTACTATAACCAAGCAGGACACTATATGGACCAAGGTGAAAGATTCTTTAACAGAGGATATAACCATGCACAACAGTGGGTAAACAATAACCAACCTCAACCGCCTCAAACGTGGGGAATGTAAAGTTTTTTACTGAGATGAAATGAACAATACAGCATTGAGACAAATGGGTTCAAGATGGATTTGTCGGCTTCCAGCAGTTACACAACGTGTTTGTCAAGTTCTTCCTATACCTCAGGAAGTTTTAGACCGACTTAAAAAACAACAACAACCAGTTGAAAACAAACCAAACTAAAATTTTTTACTGAGATGAAATGACCGAAGAAGTTGAAACGGTAGATTTGACACCACAAACAAAAAGTTCAGAACCATTGTCAAAACCCGTCAAAGAACTTACAGATGAAGAGAAAAATTCAATAATAGAAAGTGCCAGGTCTGGAAATACAAACCCTAACTATAAAGTCACTTTTCATAAAAATGGAACGGCAAGTATCTCAAAAAAGAAACAGACTCTCACAAATAAAATATTGAAGTCTGAAGGAGCTTTCGAGACAACAGATGGAAAAGTTTACTTCACTGACCAACAGTTCATTATAGAACATCTCATTGACTTAGAGTCGAAATATTCTAAACTTTACAACAAACACAAAAAGTTGAAAGGAAAACAAAAACAAATGGCATATGATATTTATGAAGATGTTGACGACACAACTGTTCCTGCAAGTGAAGTAAAGTCAGAGAAACCGAAAAGTGACGAAAAACCGATAGAAGAAGAAAAACCAAAAACTGAAGATAAACCAAAACCAAAGTTTAGTTTGGAAACTAAACCAAGTCAACCTTCATTAGCTGGTATGGGTTGGCGTCAAAGACTTATGGCAGCAGGCGGTTATGTTAAGTAAAGAAAAAATATTTTTTTTATTTTTATAAAAATGCCCCCATATAGAATGGATAGAAAGTCTGCTAGAATAAAAGCAGAGTTGCAAAGTTATGGTTGGAGAGTTTCGAAGAAGTTTAAATATAGGAAGGGAAGACCCATAAAAGTCTATGACAAATTGTCTGGTCTTCGCTACGAAATGGATTTGGAAACAGCACGTGCAAATTATCCAAACAGACTAGAGAGGTTAGAAGAAGAACGTCTTATGGACATGCCTTTCGATGTTAGTGAACCTCAAGTTGAAGGACACGACGGCTTTGCCAGATTCTACTGGAAACATGACGAACAATTGCATCCTTTGAGAAGGAAAAAAGGAAAAGGTGAAGACACACATGCTCCCATGGAAAGAACAAGATATGCATATAAGAAGTATCGTGAAGTTAGAAGTCAAATTACATCTGGTCGAACCTTTACAGTAAACTTTGACGAAGGAAAGAACAAAGAAGGCTTCATGGGTGTACTTGCTGCCATACAAGACGGAAATAAGAAAGGACACAATCTCAGATTAACTATAACGGATTTGGATGGTCATATATACTACTCACATGGCAATGTCACAACAGCTGCAAAACTTCTTGACGCTTTCAAGACTACAAAGAGAGAACAAATGTTTGACTCGGACTCAGACATTTTGAATGCAATTGAAGGAATTGCAAGCGTCAAGCTCGAATGGTACCAACCTAACCCTCAAGCAGTCAGACAACATGTTTGTTAGATGAGAAATATGAAGTAAAAACGTTTTTTAAACCATATATTTTTACATATATTAAATGCTTCAGGTTGAAAAACAAAGAACAAAAGTAGCAGATACAAAACCATTAGACTATATCTTTACAAATGCTGGTAGGACTATTTCAGATGAGGAAATTTCATCCCGTTCATACAGGTTTGACTATCCAATTCGTTGGCTTCAAAGTCCTTCAGATGCAAAGGCAATAGGATTTAGAAGAGTTTTGTTTTCAAATAGAACTAACGCGTTTATGTTCGCAGTATATTTTCATGGGCAGTATAAAGGTTCTGATGGTCTAATAGACAAATTTGATGAAATGAGGATCTTTACAGTTCGTTCAGACGAAAGTCTTGAGAAAACTCTAAATGACTTTCAAACTCAAATAAACAAATACTATTGGGAATTTCAAGAAAAATACGACTCTTTACTAAATGGAACATACTATCTGAAACTAGAATATGACAAGATGAACTCCACCGTTTCATTTCAAAAGATTGAAATTAACCCTCCAAGAGATACAGAGTTTTTATTTTGGGGAGTAGACAAACGTTCTTGGGCACAATTTCTTCGGTTACTAAACCAGAACGAACCATTACCACCAGATGGTCCATTTCAATTTATACTTCCACCAGCAGATTTGACAGTTTATAGAAATGTGTTTGACCCTCAAAATGTTATGTGTCATGCAAGTTTCAGTTCAAGCAACAATAGTTTTCTATGTATTGGTAAGGACGTTTATGACTTTGCTTCTAAATTCTACGAACCACCTAGTAACAGTTTCTCTGACTTTCAAGTTTGGTTCACAACAAATGGTGTGCAGCATATTATACCATTGTACTATGACTTTTATCTCGAATTGTCTTTCATATACAACTACGGAAAAGTGCTGAAAAAGTATTGAAAAATATATTTTAGGGTAGATGGTTTTTAGGTGTCACCAGGTCCCTCGGTCCCTCGGTCCCTCGGTCATTTTAACTTCTCTGAAAAAGTGTGACAACATGACATTTAGACAACAGTCCAGGAAATAAACTTCATCGTACATGTTTTGTCATGATTTCATCGTAAATGTTTTGTCAAACATGTACGTAAATGTTTTGTCATGACTTCTTCATCGTATTTTTCAACCAAAACTCTTTTTTTTCGGCAAAAATATATTTTAGGTTAGATGGTGAGATCTCAGAACTAGTCTTATACTGTTTCAAGACAATGTCCGACGGTTAAGCCACAAACGAATGTCCGACGGTTAAGCCACAAACGAATGTCCGACGTACCACCCAAAAATATTTTTTATTTTTATTGTAAGAACTGAAATGACAGTCGAAGCAAAAACGTTCACGAACAAATCTAATGGCGAAACATTCACAAAAGGCACTTATAATGGTATTGAAGTCTTACGTAGAGACAAGGATGGTTATATAAATGCAACAAATATGTGTCAGCAGTTTAGGAAAGACTTTAGAAGGTTGTTGGAAAATAAGTCCTGGGAAGAGTATTTTAAGGCATTTTGTGAAGAATATACCAACCCGCGGAATTCCGCGGGTTGCTTTTTATACAAAATTCATGCAGGAATTCCTGATGAAATCAAACAGGTTAGAGGAACGTATGTAGACCCAAGACTTGTAAACTATATAGCAATGTGGGCTTCTCCAAAATATTGTATAGCAGTTGGAAAAATTATGGACTCCATAGACAAGAAAGTTCATGAGAAATTAGATGAAGAAGAACTCGAAGATACAGTAGAGAATGCTAAACCTTTGTTCGAACAAGAAGTTAGAAAAATGCATGAAAAACAAATAGAACATGAACATGAGATGTGTTATGGTTATAAAGATTCTCCATACGAACTAGACCAATGGGAACAAGAAGATTTAAAGAGAGAATTTAGAGAATATGAACTCGCTAAGATAGCATTTGAAGCTGCAGAAAAGAAGTTAAAAGTTTGGGGTCGTTTTGTACAAAAATATTGTGAGTAAATGAACCATTTATTTTTATTGAATTCGGCAAAAATATATTTTAGGGTAGATGGTTTTTAGGTGGAACCAGGTCCCTCGGTCATTTTAACTTCTCTGAAAAAGTGTGACAACATGACATTTAGACAACAGTCCAGGAAATAAACTTCTTCGTATATGTTTTGTCAAGACTTCATCGTATTCTTTCACCCGTTGAATTTTGTATAAAAAGCAACCCGCGGAATTCCGCGGGTTGGTATATTCTTCACAAAATGCTTGTTTTGAGGTCGAGCCATTTTTGGCTCCACCGTATTTTTCAACCAAAACTCATGAATTTTCCCGAAATAAAAAATAAAGTTAGTTTTTTAAAAAAAATATTTTTTATTTTTATTGTAAGAACATGTTAGCAACAACAGCACCAAACTCGTTAGTCATGAACCCAACTTCAATGTTAGTAGAGATGAAAAGCTTCATTCCTTCTTCATATACTTTCGAAACAGAAATCCAGAAGATAAAGCAGGAACTTCTCCAAGGAGATTTAGACTGTAGTGCGAAAGATGAAACAAATGAACAGTATCTTTATGAAATGCAGGATATTATTGACCATCTACCTAAACTTCCTGAAATACAACAACAAAAGCTCACTATTCCTGAATTCGATGAAATTGAAGTGAAACCAACCGACTCAGTAGAAATAAAGAAGTTCATACGTAATGTAAACTATGAGTTTCTTGGATTTCATTGCAACCACAAAGATTGCGACATGGTATATTTCATTGACATATATAAATCTGGGGAGTTTAAGACCTACGACAACTTTGTTTCGTTAGTTGCAAAATGTGTATGGCAGATAAGAGATAAAGATAGAAGAGGTAAGGTATGGAACGGACAAATAAAACCCGCAACTTTTGAGTTAAAGAAAACCATTTACGCCTTAGTTGTTTTAGCAGGTAAGGTTTCAATGTACAATGCTAAAATGAACCCACAATGTTCAAAATGTAAAGCAGCAATGAGGAAATATAACTACTCCGTCAAAGAGATAGAACGTATGAGAAACGACTATGCTGACTTAAAGAAAGAAGCAGAGAAACCAGCAGAAGATAAAATGGACATGTTGACATTTCTGAACAAAAACTATCCAACAGCTGACGATTTCCTTCTATCTGACGTCAAGAAGAAATATAAAGAAACCTTCGGCATAGTTAAAACATTCGATGTACTAAAAGAAGAAATAGAAGCTACAAAACTGTTTAAAGTCATGAACCATCACAACATATACCATGTAAAACGCTTATAAAACTTTATGGTAGAAATATATTTTTGTCTGATTTACGCTCATTTCGATGAAATCATGACAAAACATTTACGAAGAAGTTTATTTCCTGTGTTGTTGTCAAAATGTCATGTTGTCACCATTTTCAAAAAGATGTTAGTTGACCGAGGGACCGAGGGACCGAGGGACCTGGTGACACCTAAAAACCATCTACCCTGAAAACAGTAAAAAAATGACCAAATTTCATTATATAACTGTTATTTTTTTACGAAGTGAACTTTAACACTTCGTCAAAAAAATCCCTGAAATCGTGAAAAAATGACCAAATTTCATTATATAACTGTTATTTTTTTACGAAGTGAACTTTAACACTTCGTCAAAAAAATCCCTGAAATCATATCTTTTATACATGAAAATCGTAAAAATTTGCGAGTAGGGAAAAAAACCTGGTCGCCTAAAACTCATGAAAATCGTGAAAAAATGACCAAATTTCATTATATAACTGTTATTTTTTTACGAAGAGAACTTTTGCACTTCGTAAAAAAAATCCCTGAAATCATATCTTTTATACATGAAAATCGTGAATTTCCTTAAGATACAAGATAGAAAAAATAAAGTTAGTTTTTTAAAAAAAATTTTTTTTATCTTGTATGTAAGAACAGAAAATGACAAACACTGAGTTTGAAACAGTTAAAAAGATAGACAATGACACCAAATTGGTTAGAATTGGTGATTTAAACGTAAGATACTCAAAGAAATACAAGAAATATTCTTTGTCAGACATTATATCTCCATCTGGAAAGAGAGCAATCGACTGGGTTAGAACTGCTTCTACTCAGAAAATTTTGACAAGAAATCCTGAGCTTATGATATCGGTAAGATTCTATGGAACTGCAGCATATCTCATCGACAAAAGTCTTATACCAATAGTTTTGTTATGGATTGACCCAGTTGTTGGATATAACTTCATAACATATGGTTCATTCGATACTGAACGTTGCAGTGAAGGCTTACTTTACATCGTTCAGAAACCGAAGGACTTCAATACAAAGAGATATAAGATAGGAAGAACATATAATATAACTCAAAGATATGACAGTATAGTCAATAGAGTTAAGGTTGTGTTCGTTAACGATATGAGAGCTGCTGAAACAGAACTACTTGAAAAGTTTGAGAAAATGTATGGTGCTCCCACGAAAGGTAAAGAAACGTTTGAAGTAGATGAGATAGGTAAAGCTATAAAATTATTTGACGAAGTTGCTGAAAAATACATGTAAAGCGTTTATTTTTGGTCTTTTGTGAAAGTCAGGAAATAACGCTAATTTTTTATAAAATATTTTTTTTATTTTGTATGTAAGAACAGATATGACAACAACAGAGAACACAACAACTGCTATCGTTCATGAAGACATAAGATTTTATAAATTGCATATTTGACGTAAATTTATTTCCATCTAGCTTCCCACCGCATAAGATATTCATACGTGTTTGTAAGACATTCATTAAACTTCTTTTCTATTGCATCTAATCTTGCGTTATTTTTTTCAATAACTTGTCTGTATTCTTCATCATCTCCAGCAGTGTTTGGGTCTTCACGTTTAAAATATTCATTGTTAACCAATTTTTTATCTACAAATTTTATTAGTGTTTGATTCACTTCGTTATGATAACGGTCATATTCTTTCAATACGTAAGTGAAGACAAAATGCGTCGTACCTTCAATCTTAAAGCTTAAAGAACTTTCAACACAGTTTTGAGGGTCTGTCAGTGCGTCAATGAGATAGTATTCGAAGTCAGTCAATAATTTTTTTAAAGTCATTTCATACAGGATAAAATTTAATGTTGTGAAGAAATAGTGTTTATCTCAGAAAAAATAACGCTAGTTTTTTATAAAATATTTTTTTTTATCCGGAATATAAAGACAGATATGTCAACAACAGAGAACACAACAACTGCTATCGTTCATGAAGACATAAATGAAGAATATGAGTGGGTTCAGTTTAACAAACAGTTACGTCTCATTCGTTCGGTCAAAGACGATATGTACCAAATGCAAAGTATTTTGAATGCTCTTCGTTCTACAAAGCAAGCATATCATTGGTTTGAAAACCAACAGACAAAAGAACTTTTAGAAGAATTTCCTCATATGTTTGCGACCCTCGGAAAACCGAGGAACGAGATTCCATACGAAAATCGTAAAAATTTGCCAAATGGTTTGAGAGGATATTATGTACATAGACTTCTTGTAAATGCTGTTGCAATGTGGGCTTCACCTCGTTATGCTTGTTATATTTTCATGATGTTAGATGAAATTCATAGACAAGAACGTGAAGAGATGGAAAACAAGCTTGAAGCAAAAGATGAAGTCATTGAAGCAAAAGACAAAAACATACAGAAAAGAATACCACGTTCGGTACCAAAAGGAAAGGAAAAGAACTATAAGTATATGATTTATACTGAAGAGATGGAAAATGAAGAAGACAGAGATATGGTTATGTTGCATTTAGTCAGAAGAAACAACAAAAGCTTTTACGACCTTGCTAAGATTTACAAATCTGACAGAAATTGGTTCTATCGCGAAAACTTACCGATTTCAATGACACCAAATGAAGATGTGAAACAAATAGTTCAAGATACTTTACCTCAAACACACTATGATATTAAAGGTTGTACAATACTTACCTTCAAAGAAGATTTGCCATTGTTAAAGGAAAAAATAACAGAGTATTTTGACAACTTCAAACAAGCAGAGTAGATGAACCATTTATTTTTACGCTTGACTTCAGATGGCTCAGGTAGCTCTATAAGGTAAATTGTCTTGTCAAATCCTTCTGGCATTCCGAGTCCTTCCATCCGACATTCCGAGTCCTTCCTTCCGACATTCCAAGTCCTTCCTTCCAACATTCCAAGTCCTTCCTTCCGACATTCCAAGTTCTTCCTTCCGACATTCCAAGTTCTTCCTTCCAACAGGAAAAAATTTTCCTTCCAACAGGAAAAAAATTTCCTGTTGTCCGTCCGTAAACCATTCAAATTTTCGAAAATTGAGAACTTTTTGGTCGAACGACAGAAAAAGTTTTTCCTTCCAACTGGAAAAAATTTTCCTTCCAACTGGAAAAAATTTTCCTTCCGACATTCCGAGTCCTTCCTTCCAACAGGAAAAGTTCTTCCTTCCGACAGGACACAAACGAATGTCCGACGTCCCACCAACCGAGTCCATTCCAAAGCCAGAAGAACCGAAAGCTGCAGAACCACAACAGACTAAGACTAAAACACTTACATTTTTCAAGCTTGACTTTTTACAATTTGAACTTTGTTCGCGTAGATGTGAATTCTGAAAGAAGTATGAGGGTCTTGTATGACTTTGTACTTCTCCCATAGTTCATGTCTGTCAAACTTACCTGCCATGGACTCTTTCATAAGTTCCATGAAATCGTCTTCGGACAATCCGGGGAAAAGTATAATATCAGTAAGTATTCTCTTTACATCCTTACTTAAACTCTTTGCTGTCTGTACACAAATGACAACAGAGATGTTAAAGTGTCTGAGCTTCTTAAGAATTCGACACATATCTTGTTCTCTGTTCTTTAACAAAGGATGAGAGGCGAAATCATCTAAGATAAGAAGACATCTATGAGGGTATGTCTTCCAATCGTAAGATTGCAATTTCTTCGAAATGTATTCTATCTCTTTCTGTTTGTTTCTGAAGTGTTTCTTCTCTAATATTCTCTGCATTTCCTCATTTGGGTCTTTAAACTTAGAATTTATATACTCATTTATAGCATTGTACTTCAAAACTCTTCTTTGGTACTTCTTTATCCAATCTAACAACTCAGAGTCTTTTATACATACTAACTTAGACTTCTTTATAATATCTTTGAACGAATTGACGGTTTGGTCAAATTGACCAGAAGTACTACAAATGACAACTAACTCATAGAATGGGTTCTTCTCATCTAGTTCTTGTTGTTGTGCAGCCATTTTAAGATAAGTGAAAGTCTTACCCGACCCAGGTGGTGCAATTAGACCTGTTATACCATTCTGAGCAAATAAGAACTTGTCATGTATGGGTTTTATCTGAGCATTTTCCAACTTCCTCTTGTTCTTGTTTAAAACATTCTCAAATTTTTTGTCAATGTCAGCAAACTTTTTTTCTAACATATTTTTAGAAAAATTAAAATTTTTATCTTTTTGAAAATGTCTAGCGATTTCGCCATCTATATTCGAGACAAGCTTTTCGACAGCAAAACATCTGTCGACCATAAAATCTTACATAGTGTAAACAAGAAAGGTGAATTTGTTCTAAAGTTCTGTTTCTGGGAATATGACAAGAACCATAAAACATTAAGCAGAGAAGTCTTAAAATTTGTCAATGACAGACTTGTTGACAGAGATGACGCCGATTGGAAAGATGAAGTCCAACAAAACTTCTTAGAATGCAAAGAAGACACATGCACTGTTCTTGAAGATGAAATAGAAAACAGAATAGAAGAGCTATTAAAGGACAAAGAACTTTTACAAAAATATGGTTCTGAGAAATTTGACATAACTCCACCAGAAAAGAAGAAGAGAGAAAAGAAAGAAAAGAAAGTAGAAGAAGAGAAGAAAGAACCAGAGCCAGAGAAAAAGAAATTTGACATGTAAAAATAAAATTTTATTTTTAGAACATTTCTGGGTCAATGTCAATGTTCTCTTCCTCTTTAGGAGCAAACACTGGCTTAGACTCTAAAATCTTTTTACCCAATTTACCTTGAACTTCTACAACTTTAGACTCATAATATTCATAGTCGTCTGCTTTCTTTGGTTCATAAGGTATAACAAGTTTGTATGCTTTGCCTTCTTTAAGGTTTGAAAACCTTCTGTCAAAACTTTCTTTGACTGCTAACAAACCTTCTATGTCTAAGTCTTCAAATTTCGCACCATTTTTAGTCACAATAGCAAACTTAACTGGTTCGATGTTCCAAACTTTGCTGAATGAAGACTTTTCAAAATGGTAGAAGTAAACATTCAAATATGTGAATGGGTCTAGTTCTTCTTTAAGTCCTGACATGTACTTGTTTACTGAGATGAATTTTGTCATCTTTTCTATCGGATAAAAAAAATATTTTTTTTAAAATTTACTCAGAAAAATTTTTCTTTGTATATACACCATTCTGTACGTCTAAAAGACTTTTGACATTTGCCAAGAATGTTCGTTTAGACGCTGTCATATAACCATACTCTTGACAATATTGTTTATACGAGTCGTACAATGACCTTTCATCTAAACACTCAAAGTCAGTTTCATCTATGAACAGTTCATATACACTCTTGTTTGCTTCTAACAATGTTTGTCTCTCTTCGGTATGTGGAATTTGTCTTGGATTGAACTTTGAAATATCTAATGTCATGAAATATGAGAACAAGTGGTTGTAAAAGTCAGATGTCAAAGTTTCTGCTAAGTCGTCAAAATATTCTGTATCTTGCATATGAGCTTCTGACGTTCTGACAACTACATATCTTCTGTCAGAACTTTCTAACTTCATCGGAACAACATTGTTTGAAACCATAACGAAGTTTGCAACATTTTCACAAACTCTTTGGTCTTTATATTTTCTTTCAACAACTCCAACTTTGTCTGTTATAAGACTCTTCAAAGCATCTGAGTTCAAAACTTTTGTTGTATCTATACTTTGAAGTTCGTTACATACTATAAGTTTCATATTCTCTATTGAAGAGTTAAATTTACCGCAGATGTTTTCTAAGTTTGTCATATTAGGGTTCGAATAACCTTCTAACAGTTTGCACAAAATATCTGTAAAGAATGTGTTCTTACCTGTTCCTTGTTTTCCAATTATAATGAGAGCAGTTTCATTTTTAGCACTTGGATGTTGTAAGATGTTTGCAAACCAACATAAGATATACTCATAGACTCTTTCGTTTCCATTGCATATAATTTCTTTGACATGGTCTAACCAAGCTTCTATAATATTTTCTTTCCATTCTACTTGTTCATATTTATATCCAGTGAAGATAGAATAGAAGTTTGGAGAAGGTGTATAGAACTTTATACCTCGAACTGAAAAATCTTCAAGTTTTGACAATAAGATATCCCAAGCATCTAACATCTTCATACCAACTTGTACGACTTTTATTTTCTTAAGTTTCTGTTTACATTCTTGTTCTGAAACTATTGTTGCTCTTGGTTTGTTAAAGACTACATCCATTCTTTCATAACATAACATTCTGGGGCAGAGTCGACATAAATGACTAAACGTTTCAAATTCTCGACTGCTTTGTTATAGTCTCTAAATGGACCATATTTCTGAACGCTTGGAAGTCATAAAAATCTGAAACATCTATTCTGTACATTTTTATAAAAAAAAAAAAATATTTTTTTTATTCTTGACTTTGTTGTTCTTGAGCTATTTGTTGCATTGTTGTTTCTTGAGCTATTTGTTGTTGAAGTTGTTCTTGTAATACAATACTTTCACCAGTTGCATCTTCCAATTCGAAACTTTCTGCCGTCATTGACAAATACATAGGACATAAAAGTTTTACAGGAACAAAGTTTGCGTCAACTAATGTCAACGTTATACTTGCCAAAGTGTTTGAGTTCACTAAGGTTGAAAATTCTGCATTCGAATGAACAATAGGCAAACCAGCAGAGAAAAGTGTTGTTTATACGCATAAGTATCTTTTGGTCATAGTAGTTTCTGTCGACATTCGAATAACACTTTGAACCTAAGTTTGAAACAATATATAAAATAGGTGTGCTTAAAGTCAATGGAACAGACATTCCTTGTATGACACCTTTTCCTGTTATAGGAAATTGTTGGTAGTAAAAACCAGATATAAGTTTTGTATTATAGCTCATATTGTTTATAGTAAACTCAGTCGGACATCCAAACATAATGAAACCTGCTCTAGTTGCAGCACATGTTACACTCGTCCTTAAAGTATTAAATAAGTCAACAAAACCTGTTGGTGGTATATCTGAGTAAGTATCTTCAAAGGAGTATTTTTTACCATTCACAACAATAAAATCTTCTGGTGTCAAAAGAGCAAAACAGGCTTTAGTCGTCATTGTGTTTAAAGTTAGTTTACAATATCGTCCTTGAGGACTTTGTAAGTTTGTTGTTATAGAATTATATGACTCAGGGTTTTTAGTCGTAATAGTATAAACCATTATATCTTCTGCCATTTATATATATTTAAAAGTTTTTCTGAAAGTGGAGAAGAACTTCATCTAAACTTTCACATGGCGTTTCTTGAAGTTCTCTGTCTAAGAAGTTCAAATATTTTGTAAAGACATAGAACTTTCCTTTGTCTACACGAACAAACAAAACAGGGTCTTTCATATCGTTCAAAAGTGTGTAAAGTCCTTTACATGAAATAAAGTCTATATTATTTTTCTTCAAACATCTTTCAAGAAGTTTTGACATTTTTACTTAGCAAATAAATTTTAATGAAATGTTGTGGTCGTCAAATATTTTTATGACGTCTGGGAAACTATACTTTAAGTTCAACGTTTCACCTCCTTTCATAACGTATATCTTGTCAATGACATTATATGAAACACCACAGCAACTAACGTCGGGTTCTATTTCTTTGATGTTTATATCGTCTGCCTCTGTCAAAAGTTTCAATAGTTCTTTCAAAACTTCATGAGGTGCGATGACATATGAGTTCACTTTTACAGGGTTGTGTTCGACCAAGTTTAACATTATACCTAAAGCTTGACAAATCTTCTCCTGAGTTTGAAGTTTGTCTTTCAGTTGTTGGTAGTCGTTTCGAATATCTGCAACAGAACTTAAGTCTCTGCTAACTTCAGGGTATGTTGGTTGTTCTTTTACAGGAACAATTGTTATACCATCTTCGTCTTCGTATGGTTTCCCCACTTCAACATCTCTTTCTTTGACATTGACAATAACATTTTGACTGTTTGTTTGAGTTGGTGAATTTAACTTCACATCTGCCACCGCCATTAAACCTTTTGAAACACTTACGCTTCTATTTTTCGGAAATGACATTTTACTTAGAATAAAAAGATGGACGTATTCGGATATCTCTTCGAATTGAAGCAGAACAAAGTTTACACACACAAACAATACAAATACATTGACAGAATAGTTCTTTATACAAACAATGGTAAATGTTATAGAATAGCAGTCTTTGCTGAACCAAAATATTTTCATAAAGCAAAGAAAGTTGGTATAACTGAAATGGTGAAAGTTCTTGAAGCAGACAAAAATATAACTTCAAAACTTACAGATATTTCTAAAGGTAAGTTTATAATACAATATTATGTCAAAACTGGCGTACTGTCAATATTTGACGGAGAGAAGTCAGTTCAAGAACAACTTACTGACCTGCTGCCAAAATCTGCTCGATGGAAGCTGTCGTTATGCCAATCTGAGGAGCCCCAGCAGGTTTCATCGAACGAATCTTCAAAAGAGCATCTTCCGTGAAAAGTGCTATTGGTTTTGTAAACTTCTTTGCTTTCAATTCATTTGGACCGTCTCTGTCACCAGTATATTGTATTTGAACTGTACCAACAGTTGAAATACCACCCATAAAGTCTTCTGAGTCAGCAAATGGAATGCCAAGCCAAAAGTTTGAACGGTCTCCATTTGTATATTGAGTTTTTTGACCTCCTGTATGAGTCCATACTTTCACATATGGCATAATAGAACTTTGCATTTCAGGGTTAATGGTTGTTGTGAAGTTGTTGTTAAAGTTCATAGCATCTAATGTCAAGTTGTATGACCTCATATCCTCAACTGTAGAATATTCTTCTCTTGGATAATATTTGCCATCTATGTTTATATGATATTTAATACCGGGGTTGTGTAGAAACAAGAATAGTCATTTATAGTTCGTCTGAACAGTACAAACATAGTATCTGCATGTTTCATTGCAGTTGTTAAAGCAATATCTGTTCTTGCACCTGGGTCAGCACTTTGGTTTCCAACTTCACCTGCAAAGTCTTTGACAGATATTTGGTGTATAGGGAACATAAGTGGAACTGCAATATATTTGGCAGCTAAAGCATTTGAAATATCTGGGTCCAACATATAGACTGCAAGTCTGCTTTCTATTCTCTTGCATTCAAATTTTTCGCATGTGAACTTAACTGGGTCCCAAGCAGTTCCAGCAGCATTGAAATAATAGTTTACTTCAGTGTTGAAGTTTGAGAAACCAAAGTCTAAGTCAACTTTGTCTTTGCAAAAGTCACAGAACTTGGCTCCACCAGTTCCAGCTACAGTAAGAGTGAATGGGTCTTGTGTTGGTGCAATGACTAAGTTATTTTTGCTTGGAGTAAGTTCGATAGAAATTTTTCCTGCCCAGTTTGGCAAGTATCTTAAAAACCTGAAGATGAGGAAAGATGACAAAGGAACTCTAAGTTTCAGTTTTACTTTAGTGGCAGCATTTCCATCTGAACCAGAAAGGTTAACATAAACTCCTGGAACGTTAGGGTCAAGTCTTCTTATTTTCTCAATAGTTGCATATTGGTCTGTTTGTTCTCTAGCTTGTGGTTGTACTGAGTTTCTCAAAGCGAACCATTCATAGTTTGCCCATGTTACTGTTTGAACTAAGTCAGAGTTAGAATATATCTTATATCCCATGAAAACTTCTGGAGCATATTGGTATCCGACATAGAAAATTCCATTGCAACCTTTCTTGTCAGACAACTTGGCAGAAGGTTTTATTTCAATGTCTTGTTCCACGTATAAGAATGAGTTGTCAATAGAAATTATATGAAACCTGTCGCAAGCAATATCTACTGTTGTTGAAGAACCTTCTCCAAACTCACCTACATTTCCATAAGAAACAGCAGTTGTATATTCGTAAGTTCCAGGAACTATTTCTGACCTTCTAATGGCATTGTCGCATTCGTTATACCATTCGGAAACATTTCCATTCATGGCATCCAAAACTGTTGGCGTTATATTCTGAGCGGCGTACATTTCATATGGGTAAAAATATAGAATAGTTGGATTTATTTGTCATAATAGAACCCACGTGGACCAAGCTTTACTTTCTTCCTGGCTGAGTTTTTAACTCTTCTTTTTCCTTCATTGCCACTACTTTCACTAGATGAAGTTACTTCTTCACTACTTTCACTTTGTTCTACTCTTCTTCTTTGGTAACTTGCCCTCTGCTTTAAGTTGTTGCATCTTTGCCTCATGTTCACCTAGTATGTTGTAAATTTTCCATGTCCTTTTTGCCTTTGGGCTCTGGTCGCCCATCTCAGGTAACCTATATCCTAGAAAGATTTTGTCATAGTTTGTATTTGAGTCTTCGCTTATTGTTTGCATGACTCTTTCCTGAGTTTCCGGTTCAAGCTCTTCAAACAGAGCTTGTCCATATGGAATAAGCTCGTTTCCAAATATATGTTTTTGTAGCCATTCTGGTTTTCTTTCCATGTTACCAACAATATCTTTTGTGAATGGGAAAGCTTTTACCCAATCTTTCAGTCTTGCGTCATTTATTTCTGTAGTTGGTTTTATTTTGTCAAGGAACATGTTTTTCAATACTAACATTTCATTTGGTACTGTCCATTTGAGTTTTCTTAAATATTCATCCCTTCTCGGTTCATTGTCTGCAAAGTAAGTTTTTATGACATTTTGTAAACTTTCGTTTGCAAGGTCATGTACAATAGGTTCTCTTCCTTCTGTCTCCCTAACTTTCTTTCTAAACTCTTCACCAAATATACCATCTTTATGGTTCTGTGTAGTTCTTTGAGATAAATGTTCTAGAACGTCAGGTTTATATTTCCATCAGCCATGTTCATTTCATACTGGTCCAAAATATCTGCATCTTTCATATCTTTCAATGGCATTAAAGCCGCGCTGAAAATACCAGCTAAATCTGGTTCACCATTCACTTCCATTGCGTCTACAACTTCTTGGAATTGTGGTTGTAAGTTTATGAACCACCTATCCGGGTTAGCTTTATGACCCCATCTCATTGTAGTTCCATAGTCTGCAGAAACAAAAGTAGGTTTGTTTCCATATTGGTTAGGTTCTGAATGAACTTTAAACAATGTTTCATTTCTATATGTTTTGTTGAAATTTAACCTTTTATTTTCACCGAGTTCATCCAAAGATTGAACGTTATATGCTCGTAAGTAAAAAGGGTTGTTGTATTTGTGTACATTTTCTTTCAGTTCTTCCATTCTATGATGAATATTTTCATCTGATGTTGGAGTCTTTTGTATGTCGGCAAACATTTTTCGATATTCTTCTACTCTGTCAGCCGAATTTTTCTTAAACTCTTGGAAAGATTCCATATTCACCGCATACTCTTGTTGAGGGTCAAGATTTTTCGGCTGTTCCAAATCTTCATCTAGTTCTGTGAAGTTAGTTTCCAAAGGAGGGACTTGTTCGTTTCCTTCAGGCTCTTCTAGCTGTTGTTGCTGAACTATTTCTTCCATGTCTGGTTGTATCTGAACTTCTTCCTGTGGAGTTTCTTGTACCTCATCTGCTGGCATTTCATATATTCCGAGACCGTTTTTAACAAGTTCCCTATCTAAGTCATCCGGACTCATAAACCTTTCTTCTTTCGTTCCGTCTCTATTTTTTACGCGTTTCATGAAGAGAGTTGAATTGTCATTTAGCTCTGACACCAAATATCTCGGAGTAAATTCAGTCATGTCATTTGGATGATATGCTATTAAATCATATCCCTTAGCGAGCTTGTATTTTCCAGGTTTGAAATTATATCCCATTTGGTGCTGAACCATAAAGCTAAATAGGTTCGGGTCAGTATTTCCTTCCTTGAACTTTCTAATAGCTTCTTTATATCTGTCACTAAAGTCAAGAGTATCTGGGTAACCATAGTCTTCTTTAAGCATTTTTAAGAAATCTTGGTTTCCTTGTTCTCTACTTCTTTTATGTCCTTGCTCTGTTTGTGGTTGTTGTTGTGGAGGGTTTTGAACTGTTGGTTGCTGTGCTGGTTGTGGAGGTGGTTGTTGTGCAGTGTTTTGAACTGTTGGTTGTGGTGCTGGATTTTGAACTGTTGGTTGTGGTGCAGTGTTTTGAACTGTTGGTTGTGGTGCTGGATTTTGAACTGTTGGTTGTGGTGCAGTGTTTTGAACTGTTGGTTGTGGTGCTGGATTTTGAACTGTTGGTTTTGGTTGTTGTTGTGGTGCATGCCTGTGTCTGTGTCCATGTGACGATGTAAATGTTTTAGGTAGTCCTGGTGCAGGTGCTTCTCTTGGAGGGTTTGGTGGTATATAAGTTCCACCAGCTGGCACATATGTTCCATCTGCAGCATAATGTCCTACCTGACTTTTCGTTTTTAAGAAAGCATTTACTAGGTCTGTTTTGGTCTGTTGTAACTCTTTTTCTTGACTTTCCACAACAGTTGCTCTAACGGCGTCATAGGCACTTTGAACTGCCTGTCTCGTTGCTGCATCTGTTATTTTCGTCATATTTTGTGCTACTTCTCTTAACTCTTTGTCGAAACCTTCAGACTTCAGTTTCTTTCCAGATGAGAAGTCGTTCACTTGTTTCACCTTACTATGAAGAGCTTCGAAGGCGTTCTTAAAGTCAGCATTTGTTAAAGCTTCATTTGAACTGTCTTCATCCGCTTGTATTTTTGTCCTTATTGACCCTATAAGCTGGGCTGCTTTAGCGTTGGCTTGGGCATCTAACCAGTCATTGTTAGCTTTTATATATTCTGCGCTTTTCATTGCCTTTTGCATGGCTGCGTCGTTATTTTTACTTTCTTGTGCTAAGTTTTCATACTGTACGGTTTGGTTTTGCAACTGTAAAAGTTTTTCTGCCTTTACATTTGCTTCAACTTCTTTTTTATACTCATCGCTATCCATATATGTCCTCAGGGCTTTTTGTTTTATCTCTTCATCTTTCAGTACTTTATATTGAGTAGTATGGTTTTTCAAATTTACAACATCTTGTTCCATTTTTGCTACTTCTGCTGCTTTTTCTGACACTTTTTTCGCATATTCCTCTGTACTTAGTTCTTTCAGTTGTTCTTCTTTCTTCTTTTTCTCTACGTTTAACTCATTGAGTTTCTTTGTGTGTCTGTCATATTCTAGTTTCTTTTCGTTTTCACTTATTTGCTTCTGTATGTCTATGTTTGACTTTTTGACATCTGATATTTGATTTTTGAGTGAACTCAAATTCATTTGACTTTGAGGGTTATAGGCTGTTCCGTCTGCAGCTCCACCATAGCCTGCCATTTTCGCTAAAAGTGCCGCTCTTAAACCTCCACTCTGTGCACCAAAAACTCGGTTTAAAAGCATAGGATTGCTTGACATTTGTTGCAACATAGTGGGGTCATTCAGCATTTGTTGTTGCAACTGTTGTTGTGGTGTCAGTTTTACTATTGGATGTTTCAATGCTCCCTTCCTCTTACGTATATTCTTACGTAGCTTACGTGGCATTTTAAGTGAAGTTAAAAAGCGGTTTTTGACAGATGTTTATATGACACTATTTGTTCAGCTCAAAAAACTACTCGGTCAAAGTGTTGTCAGTTTTGTAAAATAACCGTCCTATCTCATTCTATAAGGGGAAAAAGGCTTCTCAAAGTATACTTCCTTAGAACGCCTGTAACTTTTCCTGTAGCGACGATAGACCCTTACTTGTCCGGACAAAGTTATACTAAACATCTTCAGGGCTAGAGGGCACGAAGTGCCTGGAGGCCCCACTACCTTTTTTTTTTTTTTTTTTTTTTTTTTTTTCTTTATATAGTTTATTGCCTATTTGTTTTAATTCCAAAGCTTAAGCAATAAAAAGTGATTTTTATTCCAAACAAAAATTTGAATTTATGTTTTATTGCGTATTGTTGGCTTTAAAATGTAACTGGTCTAAATGGTATTTGATCTGTTATATCTGTAGTTTTGACATATTGATTGGGAAGACGTTGTTCTTTTATTTTTCTCAGACTTTCCATTTGCCTGCTTGAATAGCCTTCTTCGTCAGCACCTAAACCAAACCCACCAATAGGCATCGGAGAATGACCATATAAGTCGATATCATCATTGTCGATAACCATTTTTCTCGATAAATGTCCAGAGCCCATTCTTTTTGGCATATTTCTTGGTCCTCCTGGGAACTCTTGGCCGAATCCATGACGTGAATTATGCATTTTATAAAAATTTAAAAAAATTGAATGGGGAAAATTTTGCCAATGTAAAATTATCATTGTCAAAAATCATTGAAAAAATTGAGAAATAAAAAATCGTTCTTGAAAAGGTGACTTCTGGCCTTGCTTTACAATGCCTGTCAAGAGAAGGAATCACGGCCGTTCCAAGATGAACCGTGGCCACACAAGAACAGTTAACTGCATGAACTGCGGCCGCCAAGTTCCAAAGGATAAGGCTATCACACGTTTCGCAATTAAGAATATGGTCGATGCTTCATCAGCTAAGGATGTTTCCGATGCTTGCATCTATCAGGGCTACGAACTTCCAAAGACATACCAAAAGCAGTATTACTGCGTTTCTTGCGCTGTCCATCGTCACGTTGTTCGCCCACGTAACGTTAACGTTCGCCGCAACCGTGTTCCACTCTTCCTTAAGCTTAGACTTGAGAAGCTCGAACAGCGCAACGCTCAGCGCCTTTCCAAGGAGTAAATTTTATAAAATAATAAATACATCTTCAATCTGATACTAAAACAATGGTGTAATATCTTTTTATATACTTAGTGTTTTCAAATTTGACAGATTTGGCTAGTTAAATGATTTCATTAAATAAAAATTATATGAAATACAAAAATATAGATAGGGTATCCGGCGAGGTAGTTTCTTATACTTTTCCAAATATGTAAAAAGTAGTCACACTCAAACAAACAAAAAAAAGTTCCTCCGGCGCAATAAAATGATTTAAAAATCAAATCAGAGACTTCTGAAAGATTTAGCTCCGCGTTACTGTAGTTATACTCCCTGTCCATTTGTGCACCAAAGCTGAGAAAATTCAGAATCACATATGATTCACAAATCAAAACTATAATTTAAACGTGGATAAATATTCTAATTATATATGTTATAATATATAATAATTATGCTATGATATGAGCTTGAGCTCTCGATATGGTGATGATAGAAATTGATTAGGGTAACTTTATTATAAAAAAGGAGTTTATTGCTTATCTTTCTTCTTTAACATTATACAGGATGACTGAATTGAATTCATTTACCTGTTTTTAATGATATGAGATTGATACAATATATCATGATATAGATAATTTTAAAAAAAATTAAAATTTTAATCAATTTTTCAAGAAAAAAAAGTTAAACTAATGATAATTCAACGGGTTGTTCTTCTGAATCGTTTTCAGATTTGTGTATTTTATATTTGTAAATGAAGAAGGCAATAACTGCAATGGCTGCAAGAATAAGAATAGCTCCAATTATACCACCGGCAATTTTTCCGCCTTTACCTTTCCCTTTGCCATCTTTACTCGAATTGTTTTCTTCATTGCTGCTGCCACTGTTGTCTTGGTTGTTATTATTACTGCTAGCAGTTGCAGGTGATGATTTCTCTGGTTCATTGGTTTTTTCTGGTTCTTCACTTCCAGATTCTTCTTGATATTTAACTTCGAATGGAATCAGCTGAGTGCATTGATCTGTTTTTTCGTTGATCTTGACACCGCCTATCGTCTCACCTCTAAATGAACTTGATGTAATTACTTTTTTGAATCCTTTAGAGTTTTTAAGGAAAGAATTATCAGAAATTGATTTGCCGCAATATATAAATGTGTCAATTGATACATTTTCGAAAACATTCTCTGAGAAACCATTGATTGAACTGGATATTGATATATTTAGGGTTATGTCATTATAAAGTTTTGAAGAAAATGTAAACTTTGTTGATGGATCAACAAAAGCAATAGTAGATAATTTACGTCCAACAGTAATATCTCCGATGGATTCAAGATTACTATTGTTGATAATAAGTGTACGGATCAGATGTAATGGGAAATTATTTATTCTTGGTATCGGTATATTTGATTCATAAACCAAAGTGTCCAATTTATCACATTTATAAAAAGACGACGAGTATCCTATATATAGAAATGCACTTAAATCACATTGGACTATAACTGTTTTTAAGTTTTGGCATTCCTTGCATGCATCTACTGAGATATTAACTAATGAACTTGGAAAAGTGAGATTTGTTAAGCTTGTGCATTTCTCAAATACAGTTGGGCCAATAATTTTCAAACTATTGCCTTCAAAAACTATGGATTTCAAATATATGCATTGATAAAATGCACTCCTATCTATCCGAATTACCTTTGGTGGAATTGATATTGTTTGAATTTTAGTTTGCCAGAAGCATGTTTCTCCAATTATTTCAACTGAATCTGGAATAATGAAGTTAACTAATCCAGTTTGTGCGAAAACTGATCCATTTAACATTTTAATACCTTTAGGAAGAGTAACTTCTTGAAGTCCAGAACATCCGCCAAATGCAGAATACGATATTGTAGTGCAAGAATCTGGAATAATGACGCGTCTGAGTTTTAGATTTCCCCAAGATATTCCCATATCAATGAATTGAAGACCATCTGGAAAAACAAATTCTTCAATAACTGTCATAGCGAAACAACTATTCATAACTGACTTTATATTTTTTGGAAATGTGACCTTTTTTAGATTCTTGCATTCATAAAAAAGGTTTTCTTTAAGTACAGAAACTCCATCCGGAATCACAATTTCTTGAATAGCTGTTTTATGAAATGCATTTTTTCCCATTGAGATTAAATTCCTTGAAAGAGTGACTACTTTGAGAGAAGTACAAGAATCAAATGCAGATGATCCTATTGATGTTACAGAATCTGGCATGGTAAGAGTACTTATTGTGGTACATTTTTGATATTGTGAATCGGCAATTGACGTTGTTCCTGACGGAATATTAAGAATTGTTCCAGATAGACATTGAGATGCATAGATAGTATATACTAGCAAGCACAACATGAAAAAATGTGAGCTCAAATTCTTTTAATTCTTTTGAATCAAAAGATTTGTTATTTAATATTATTAATTTTATATGAGAATTGTGATTGTAAGTAAATGTACACATTATGATGTTTTTTTATTTTTCACAATTTATCAATTTTCAGAAAAAAATTGAATAGAGGTATGCTGACTACCCTTTTATACAGGCCAAATGCCCCCAAATTTTGAATATAGCTTCTATGCATGCTTGTGAGCAATTTTTGTATGACCATGCAAGAAAAACTATCAGCCAATTTTGATGAAAATGCATTAGTAATTTGCATATATTTTATGCTCAAATTATTTTTGCCATTTTTGAATTTTTTAAATTTTTTACATATTTAGCTGATTTATTCGAATTATGAATCGACAAAAACTAATTATTTTAAGTTCTAAAATAATATTAATGCTTAAATTTCATATATTACAATAATGAATAAAAATATTATATTAATCGTCATGAAGTATGATTGAAATTAAACCATTCAGATTGTAATCCGAAGTTTATAATAATCTCACATATCTTGCATGTTTTAATAATACTTTCTCAATAAGCGAATAAATGATGAGTTAATACCAATCAATTAGGCTTTCTGAGCAAAAATATCTAAATTACTCAAATGTGTGAACTATTTACTAGTATTAAGATAATTTATTCCTAATAATAAAAAAACATAAAATAATAATTTTATAAGACATACTAAATAGTTAAACGTTATGCATACCATGATGCTATAAATCATTATCGTATTATTAATTTTGTTATTTTGAATAAGTCAGTAATCGAATATACGGGTAACTTTTTTTTGGCTGATAGTTTTTAAATAAATCTATTCTAAAGGTGATACTTACAATGAATATATATGTTTTATAGCTATTACAAGGAAAACCACCTGTACAAAAAAAAGTTAATAATTTAGGATTTTAACATATACGTTTGAGTAATCTCCCATGCGAATTTCTTAATGATATGGCGTTTCCGTAAAGATGAACGAATAATAACATATATGATAATAAATTTGATAAATCTTTTGTATAAAAGCGAAAACATCTATATTGTTACGATCGAAAACATAATATATGAAGTGCTTTTTCGAATGACTCTACTTGTTTCTAAAATAATGTTATGCTTAGCTCTAGACGTGGCCATTAAAAATGACGTTAAGAGAAAAAATTAACCTTATTCCAGTCAGCATACCTCTAGTTAGTAAACATATCATGGGTACGGAGGCACTGCGCGCCTCCTTACCCATTATATGTGAATTTGACACTTTACAAAACCGTTAACGTATATTTTTCAAATCAAAAGCAAACACCCACTTAACCTTAAATATTTATAAAACCGCCAACCACTTCACTAACGAACTCACTAATGTAAAAAATAAACGTTCTCACTATCGTTCTCACTAACGACTTCACTAATGTTCTCATAAATTTTCCTCAATATCTTCATCATCAGTGTTAACCCTATTGTAGTCATACTTGAAGCCATAAACTTTCTCTAACTTCTTAACGTACAATTTACATAACTTACCTTCGTCATCGTATGGTTTAATGATATAACTATTTCTATCTTTATACACAGTCAATGAAAAGTCAACTGGTCTCGGATGTATTTGAAAGAACATGTTATGCTCAGGAAGGAAGAATAAATGTTTAAATGTATGTTTGTTATATTTTTCGATTTGTATGAGTTGCTTTTGTTCTGTCATTTACATCCAAATAAAAAAGTAAAATAAAAAATAAACTTAAAAATTAATGATATCACCACCCTCACACGTATGAAAACATAGCACAAAAATAAATTTAGGTGAAGTGGTGAGATCTCACCTCTTTTTTCACCTGTTTTTTCACCCTGTTGAATTCATTGCTTTATAACTCTCTTCCTTGGTTTCTTTTTAGTTGCTTTCTTCACGTCTGTCTCCAACTTGACTGTCTTTCTTCTTCGTCCGTAATGATACCAATTACTTCCACCAGTCAATGGGTCAAATGGTCGTTCATAAGGGTTTCCATACATTCCATAAGGTCCGTATGGATAAACTACTGGTGGAGAAGAAACATTTTCTTTAGTTCCATCGACTCTATTTAAATGCATTGTTTCACCTTTCATCTGGTCATTAAAGTCTTTTGCGTGTTTTGCAAACTCATCGTCCTTTCCTAAAGCATTTTCTGACTCAGTCGCAACCAAATTGGATGCTTTATTTATGAGCCCTATTTTATTTAATCTTAACTTCTTTGCAACCCAGCCTCCAATCTTTCCTTTATTTGCATCTAATGTATTCGAAACCCTTCCTCCACTCATTTTATTTACTGCGTCATAAGCTCCAAGTGCTTTTGCTCCAAATGCTAATGCTTTTGTTCCCATTGCGCCTAAAGCTGCCCAAGCTACCATTTACACCATATTAAAATCATCTCTCTTCAATATTATCTCATAAAAGTTCTCGTTACTGGAGAAAGTCAATGAAACATAAGCGTTCTCACGGGCTTCGCCCTCACCGCTTTGCGGTCTATCTAACTTCTTTCTTATGTCATCTATACGCTTCAAAATGTCTGAACAATTGCTAACATCTTCTACAACAGTTATTTCATCATGAATGACCTTCAAGAACAAGCTCATTTAATATGCTATTAAAATCATCTCAATAATGAGTCCATCCTTTCCATCTTTAGGTAGCACAACATCTTTCATTGAAGAAGGTTCGACAAGTCTTATGTTAAACTTACTGACAAAGTTTGTTATACTATAATGCTTCGGTGGCGAATACATATAGTTTGAAAGACATAATATAGATTCTTCAGCAAATTCACTTATACTGGATTTTATAACAATGTTCTCACGAGACCAAATACCACCAATTGACAATCTTGTAAGCAATCCTGCTGAACCTTCAACTGTAAACGTCGATGGTAACATTCCACGAAGGTCATCTATTGACATCTTTGAGTCACTGAATTTAAATATTTTCTTAAAGCAATCGTCATTATCTAACCATGCAATAGCTTTGAAGTTTTCATTCGAATATACATCTGCTTCATTAAATGTAAAACCTGACTTCTTTGCAGAGATGACTTTAAAATCTATTGAGTTTGTTTCAAAATTATATGCTATGGTAACTTCTGAAGGTAATGGGTGCCCTTCTGCTATAAGTTGTTCTTTCAATACCGTTTGAAGCTTTGTGTTAAAAACTTTCATGTCATCTCCTGTGTCTAGGTTCACATACACAGCAACAGGGAAACTATCTTGCTTCTTTGTTTCATCATTATATCTCAAAACATTAAAGTTCTTCAATAATATTGTTCTTCCTGCTGGAATACTTCGAACCTGTCTGATTTCAATAGCTTTCTCACCTCCTATATACTCTACCCAGTGTCTTGGATATTCATAAGTATACTGACTTTCTTGAATTTTGGTTGGTTTCATCATAACATGTTCATAGTATATCTTTATACTCTTGTCAGTTAGACTCGGTGCTATGTTCTGAATATTTCTGACTTGCATTTTTAATGGAGATAAAATGAAGTATTTAATACATGACGTAGATGAAGACATGAATGAAACTACAGACAAACTTAACTCTTCTCTCATTCTTCCTTTCAGTAAGGACTATGAGTTCTGTTCAAATGGCGTTTATTTCTATTGTGGAAAGATGGGGTCAGGAAAGACATTCAACCTCATTCGTCATATACTCATAACAGAACGTTTAGGAAATGACTCATATTATGACCAAATCATTATATCAGCAACTTCAGACTCTATGGATTCAACAGCGAAAACATTTATGTCAAAAGTTCAAGCCTCTGTCGTTAAAGTTCCAGACAGTGAACTCATTGAATTTCTTCAACGTTACATTCGACGTAAGAGGAAATATTATGCTATTGTAGAGTTCATACACAGGAATGCAAAAACTTCAGAAGAGATGGAAAAATATTGACAAACACCACATTACGTCAGTACTCAGGAGTTTACGATATGAAACGACTGACAAACTACATTCTGTCAAAACTTTCAAAATACCCTTCAAAAAATATCCTTCAAACACTCTGCTCGTTTGTTGACGACTTCGCCGGAAAAGGTTTAGTGTCAAAGCTGACTCACCATTAGCTAACATCATAACTAAAGTCAGACATTACCATTTAACTGTAGCAATACTTATGCAAACATGGCGTTTCCTTGCTTTAAACATAAAACGTTCTCATAACTGACTTCGTTATCTTTCAAGGTTTCTCACGCTATGATATTGAACTCATTTGGAAACAGTCAGGTATAACATTACCTTTTGAAGAAATTTGGGAAGCATATAAGTCTCTCATCTCTCCTCGTTCATACCTTGAGATTCATATCATGACTAATACCATTAAAGTCAAAAAATATTCCATGGGAACGACCAACATTGTTTTAAATCTTATGCTTTAATTGACTGATGGTAAACAAATTCCATGCATCTCTGTCGCCATTTCTGTTAATATTTTTGCTGTCATTCATATCATCCACTTCCCCATCCGTTAGCTTTTGAGGATATGCGTTAGAATAGCTGTTCTTAATTGAAGGCTTTTCACCTTTGAGAGCATAAACTCTATAACTTTCTGCATACTTTATGTTTGAACCTCCTGAGCCATCATTGACATAAATTTTTATAGGCTTCCACCCTTTGTTCATGTTCCTGCTTCTTCCCTTAGCTCTTTTGTTCAGTAGTTTCTACATCTTTATACACAGAACCTGTCTCAGTGAATTTAACAATATTTTCATTCGTTAGCTTTACATTCAAACCCTTGTCGAGTATATTGTTCATTTCATACATATAAAAGGTTTTTATTCTATATGAAATGAGAAGCAAATCCATCTTAGCTGGTGCCGTTAATGTTCCAATTGAACCAACATCAAATGTTGACTCACGAACGCAAACAATATTGTCATAAAGAACTATAGTTCAGAGTGTTTGAAAGAACCAGAACCAGAGCTGAAATCCGTGAATTTAAACTCAGCTTCAAGTGCAAACGCTACATCAGATGTTAAGTTAGAGTATCCACCACTGGACCAAATTCTTTCAAGAGAAGCCAACGACAACCCTTACACAAATGTTCAAACAAATCCTTCAGATAACGTAGACCATTACCTTCTTCAGTTATACCAAACAATTTTACTCAAAGACGATAAGAAGCTTTTGGTAAATCTTATAAGCAAGAACCAAATAATTCTAACAAAGGAGGACCTTGAAATGTTTATATCACGAATAACAGGGAAACAATGTGTCATTGACTATCTCGACCCTGAAATCGAATGCTGTGGTCAAACGCCACCATTCATGAAAATAGGTAACATCCGCATCATTGAAACACCAGGAACTACAGGAGTTGAGTTTAAGTATAAATATTCGAACGAGTATACAAAACTTTCAACAGAAATATAAACTTTGCTTGAAATATGTTTTAGTAAATTAAAGCAGTCAGGAGGGCTCTTTGAGTCCATCTTGGCGCTTTGCGCCGTCAGTCAAAAAAATTTCAAGTTAGCAATTTGTAATATCTATCCAAAACTTCTTCAACAGTATCGAACTCATCTTCATAATGCAAACCTAATCTTATTGACTTGGTGCAGTTTTCACTAACACAATATTTTTCTGTTTCTCTTGACTGACATAACTAATTCATTTGTTTCATCAAACAGCAACAACCAAAGTTCATGACCTAAAATATAACATTCATACTTTATATTTTTAGCTCTGAGTTCTCTTGTAAGCTGTTGCATTTAATATTATCTAAAAAGTCAACTTCAACAGTCATTCGCACTAGTGCCTTCAGTTCTACAGGCTCTCCTTGAAAGTCAACAAGTCTGAATTGCATGTCTTTCAAATTATGAGGACTAATGCGAACCCATTTACCTAAATGAGTTGCTATGACAGGAACGTTTGGAATGAACATTGAATTGACTGCATAACAGAAGGATTTATATTCTACTGAACCTTTACTATTAACTCCTGAAATGCCTGTGACATTAGCTATTTTAGACTCAATGTATAAACAATTACCATAACATACGTATGGAACAGATTTCATCTCAATCGTTTTGTCAACACTTTTCAAAGGAAATGTCATATGGTATGCACCCAAAAGAAGTTGTACTCTATGACTCATTCTTGGTATCTTAAACTCCTTCACATAACTGAACTTCAAAACTCCTGCAATAAGTTTAACATTCATTAAGTTTTCTTCGTTATCCTTGTTTATGTAGTATTTATGAGAGCATTTAACACTCCAGCTAATGTTTCCATCTTATATTCTACATTATTGTGAAATCTTATTTCGTGCTTCTTTCCATCTATTTCAATCTCCATGAAATCTGTTGCATCTGTTATAACGAATGAAGCGATAGTATTGAAGTCAACCATTCTGAATGCAAGCGCCTCATTCTGTAGACCTAAGTTTGTTTGTAGCTTTACTGTCCCGTATTCGTTTGGGTCTGTACTTTGCAAATAGAACAACATTTTATTCTCATTAAAATATGAGTATAGTGCATATGCGTATGAAGCTGACAGAGCTAAACGTTTATATTTTGGTCAATACTCTCTCACACTTACTGACAAATATATTGTTATCACTGATGGAAATACTGAGAAATACATAACATGGAAGGACTATGAAAAGTTTGACCCTATTTTAACTCCATGTACTATGCCGTTTATAAAGGACGGTGAAATTATTGAAAAAGATAATACAACCGTATATAGGTCTGTTTATGAAGCATTAGAATATATGTTGAATCATAACCCAAAAAGATTTGACCAAGCACTACACCATGTGCAATGCCTTTTATTAAGGACGGTGAAATCGTAAGAGTTCCGGATTCAACGGTTTACACAGCTGTTCAAAACAGTTTACAAAACATTTTAGCGAATATCTTTAATTCAGAAACTACAGAAATAAAATTACCGTATATAACAGATGCCAAAGAAATTAAATCAAAAACGACAACATTATTTACGTCACTTAATGATTTAATGACTTATATCATTAATATTCCTGCACCAACTACAGCATTTGATCCAAACTCGACGGTTTGCAGTGTACCTTTCATAAATGACAGTTCATTAATTACTTTAAGGGATTCGACAGTAAATGAATCATTAAAGGCGTCATTAATGAAAATCATTGATTTTAATTCATTCACGAATACATATAATTCATTCATTAATGTTTCATATGCTTCTAAAGAAGGTGAGCCAAAAACTATTGATAAAGCGGTGTATGAAATAAAAGCATCAACGACGAAATTGAATTCGTTAACTTTTGACGGTGATAGTTTCGTTAATGACATAACATCGGGGAAAACAATTTTAACGAAAGAATACTTAAAATCTCATGTTAGTGAGTTCGTTGAAATTGAAAAAGAAGGTGGAATTAAGTTCGATCCACTGAATTTCATTTTCAGCTTAGCGAATGCGGGTGTTAGTTTCGCTGAATGGACAACTATACAGAGTGAAATAAATGCAATATGGACGTTTTTGGGGTCAAAAGCGGGAATGGGTGAGCTTGTAAATGCTGCAAGAACATTAGGTGAAACAGGAAATTTTGTAGATGGTTTTAAAAGACTTGTTTCAAATGTTTTAACAAACACAAAGAAATTATTTAGATATACCGTACATAACGGACGGATTTTCGAACAGATAGCAACAAACCCTCCGGTTATGGCTGCGTTGATAATGGTTAGAGATATAAAACCACGTAACGACGGGAACGAAGAACATGAACAACAGGATACTGGTCGGGTTATTCGAGACATTAAAAACGTGTATCCTGAAGTTATTGATTTATTTAGAGGAGTTAATGATTCAATTTCAAAACATTCTATAACCCTCGATGAAGAGAATAAATTAACAGATTATATATTCGTCATTATTGCAGAATTAATGAAGAGAATAAATGAAAAAGGAATTGGTGATATCATTAATGTCAGCGATGTAATGATGAAAAGAAATTTTGACTCATTATTTACAAAACCGAAAACAGAATATAGTCTTTATGACGTAATTACCGAATTAATGAAAAAGATTAATGATAATAAGAGTTCTGGCGGAAGAGTTGAATTAGAAGTGAATGATGTTAATGAGAAATTAGCCGAAAAAGCAGACAAAAATGAGCTTTTAGCTCTGAGTGATAAAGTCAAGAACCACGTTCATTATATAACTTCAGACGAACAGATTATAACGGACTACCATGGATATTTAACACGAAGTGATGAAGCGAAGACAAAAAATGTTAATGAAAGAAGATATAAATACATTCGTGCTAAAGGTTATGACATAAGCTGTACTGTACAGTATGATGTAGCTAAAGCACCAGAATCATTTGGTTATACCGGTGAAATTTATGCCTCTACTTTCAATGTTAACGGTGTATTAGTTGAACCAAGATTTACTTTGAGAGTTAAGTCAAAAATAACGTTTGAAGATGCTATTAAAAGTAAAGCTGACAAAGTTGAACTCGAAGCAATGAACAAAGTTTTGAAATCTCATAAACACAACATCTCCGATATAAATGAACTTCAAGCTACATTAGACAGTAAAGCTGACAAGAACCATACAAACGAATCCTTCACTACTGTTAGAGCAGACGATGTAATATTGAACTATACTCTCGGTTCAAGTGCACCTTTAGAGAATCCAAGTACAAGCGTAAAAGATACACTAAACTCTTAAATAACAAATGTATGAATATCGAAGGTCATGTCAGAAACTTTGAAACACATGAACTACCAGCAATGTTAGATAAAAAAGCAGATAAAGAACATACACATAAATCCTTCACTACTGTTAGAGCAGACGACATAATATTGAACTATACCCTTGGTTCAAGTGCACCTTTAGAGAATCCGAGTACAAGCGTAAAAGATACACTAAACAATTTAGATAACAGTTGCAGGAATATCGAAGATCATGCCAGAAACTTTGAAGCATATGAACTACCAGCAATGTTAGATAAGAAAGCCGACAAAACTTATGTAGATGAAATTATGCAAAGAAGTCGGAAGTAAATGCTGCGCTTAATGGAAAAGCCGACAAGAACCATACACATGAAGAATTTCAAACAATCAAGATTAAAGAAATTAAAGCATGCATCGAAATAGTAACAAAAACAGGAAGAAACGGTGCAACTGTACAAGAACAAAGAATTTATCCTCCTACTTTTCCTAATGGTTTAATAACAAACAATATAAATATTGAAGATGGCAATAAAGTTATAAACGTTAAACATGAACTTCAAACAATGAAGGCTCAGATTCTTCAAACATTATATCCTGTTGGTTCTATTTATATGTCAATGAACTCAACAAATCCAGCAACAGTTCTGGGTTTTGGTACGTGGCAGCAGATTGTAGACAAATTCTTATACTGTGCTAACTCTTCAAAGCAAACAGGAGGCTCAAAGAAAATTAAAGAAGCAAACTTACCTGCGCACACTCATGCAGGAACTACAAACACAACAGGTAATCATTCACATTCAATAACAAAAAGAGGTTATACAAATCTTGCAGCAGGTTCGGATAGACAGGGAATGCATAGATATGATATTTCAAGCGACCCAGTAGATTCAAGCGCAGGTATTTTCTGTGGAACCACAGGAAATCATTCACACACTTTCACAACAAATCCAACAGGCTCGGGTGAAGATTATATGCCACCATTTATGACTGTATTCGCATGGTATAGAGTTCATTGAACGCGCTTGAGCCTTGAATAAAATCTTTAACTTTACATAAATGAGCTTGAAAGAAGTATTCGAACAACATCCATGGAGGTCATTTAAGAAGTTCAATGAAGCTGCAAAGAGTTGGGGATTTACTAACAGAGCTGAAGTGAAAAGGTTCTTTGACAAAAATGTTGTACATCAAACAAAAATAAACCCTTACGACTACTTTTTACCAATTTACTCCAACACTCCTGACGCATACCAATTTGACACTCTCATTCAAAGCAGAAAAGGAGGACATAAACCATTCCTCATCTTCATTAATGTTAACACTCGTAAAGCATATGCATATCCAATGAAAAATAAAGGAACTCATGAAGTTTTAAGAGTTTTACAAAAGTTTGTAGCAGAACATAGCCCAAGTACTTTAACATCAGACCAAGACAGTGCATACCTCAGCAATGAAATCACAGATTTTCTCATTAAGCATAACATAACTCACTACACTACTGAAGACCATAACCATAACATACTCGGCATCATAAACCGCTTCATAAGAACGCTCAGAGATTTAAATCAAGAGCGAGACTTTACCGAAGAAACAATGAAACATTTTCTCGAAGTATATAATTCCTCAACACATTCTACAACAGGACATACACCAAATTCAATGACACAACAACAAGAAGAAAAGTATATACAAAAGAAACGAAGCCAAACACAAAATATCAGAAATTCAACACAATTTACCCTCATTCCTGGTACAAAAGTTCGTGTAGTTCTTGACGACAAACCGTTGACAAAGAAACGTTTAAGGTTAAGTAGAAACTATTATATCGTAGACTCTACACAAGGTAATGGATATCTTATAAAAGCTGCTGACGACTCTATTGCGTTTTACCCTCGTCACAAATTAGTCGAAAGTAGTAATGGCAAACTTGCTGAAACCATTGACGAAGCAAAGCGAGGAGTGGTTATTGAAATACTTGGCTACAACATAAACGATGACACTTATAAAGTAAGATATGAAGGAGGCGTTGAAGATGTTATACCATCTAAGAACTTGAGAGAGTCAAAGACAACACATCTGGGACCATTAGAGCGGGAGTACTGGAAAGACAAAAATAAGCCAGAAAGAATAAGAAAATTCTTCTAAACTTTTTCATTAGATGTAAATCAGACATGAATGAGAACAGTCATGATATCATTAATGGTACCATTTATTTTTGTCATAAATTTACACCAAAAATAATGTTGAGGTGAAGAGGTGAGATCTCACCCGTTTTTTCACCTCTTTTTTCACCCTCATGAATTTTCATGAATTTCCTTAAGACAGAAAAATAAAGTTAGTTTTATTTTTATTTATTTTTTTATTTTGTATGTAAAGATATGATTTCAACAATCGGCACAACAGCAATTCAAGCCGCGAACGGCAGGACTCTGTCCACAACAGCACCAAACTCGTTAGTTATGAATCCTACGTCAATGTTAGTAGAAATGAAAAACTTCATTCCTTCTTCATATACTTTCGAAACAAAAATCCAGAAGATAAAGCAAGAACTGTTAACAAGTAATTTAGACTGTACCGCACAGGATGAAGAAAATGAAGAATATCTTTATGACATGCAGGACCTCATCGACCATTTACCTAAACTACCTGAAATTCAGCAACAAAAACTAACCATTCCCGAATTTGACGAAATTGAAGTCAAAGCAACTGACTCAGTAGAAATAAAGAAGTTCATACGAAAGGTAAACTATGAGTTTCTAGGATATCATTGTAACCATAAAGTTATGGACAAAGATTGCGACATGGTTTATAAAAATATTTCTGACCTTTACAAATCCGAAGAATTTAAGACATACGATAACTTTGTTTCATTAATTGCAGAATGTGTATGGCAGATAAGAGATAAAGATAGAAGAGGTAAAGTATGGAATGAACAGATAAAACCAGCAGCTTTTGAGTTAAAGAAAACCATTGACGCCTTAGTTGTTCTAGCTGGTTTTATTTCAATGTATAACGCAAAAACGATGCCGCAATGTTCAAAATGTAAAGCAGCAATAAGAAAATATAACTACTCAGTCAAAGAGATAGAAAGAATGCGAAACGACTATGCAGACTTAAAGAAAGAAGCAGAAAAGCCAGCAGAAGATAAAATGGATATGTTGACATTTCTTAATAAAAACTATCCAACAGCAGAAGATTTCCTTCTGTCTGACGTCAAGAAGAAGTATAAAGAAACTTTCGGCATGATTAAAACATTCGATGTACTAAAAGAAGAAATAGAAGCTACGAAACTGTTTAGGATTTCAAATATACATCGTACAATTCATGTAAAACGCTTGTGAAAAAACAGGTGAGAAAACAGGTGAGAAAACGGGTGAGATCTCACCTCTTCACCTAAACATTATTTTTGCTGAAAAATGACCAAATTTCATGAATTTTCATAAAAGATAAAAATAAAGTTAGTTTTATTTTTATTTATTTTTTTATCTTGTATGTAAAGACAGTAATGACAAACATTGAGTTTGAAACAGTTAGAAAGATAGACAATGACACCAAAGTGGTTAGAATAGGTGATTTAAACGTAAGATACTCAAAGAAATACAACAAATATTCTTTGTCAGACATTATAACACCTTCTGGAAAGAAAACAAAGGACTGGGTTAGAATTGCTTCTACTCAGAAAATTTTGACAAGAAATCCTGAGCTCATGATATCAGTAGCATTTCATGGAACAAGAGCATATCTTATAGACAAAAGTCTTATACCAATAGTTTTGTTATGGTTAGACCCAGTTGTTGGATATAACTTCATAACATATGGTTCATTCGATACGGAACGTTGCAGTGAAGGCTTACTTTACATCGTTCAGAAACCGAAGGACTTCAACACAAAAAGATATCAGATAGGAAGAACATATAATATAACTCAAAGATATGACAGTACAGTCAATAGAGTCAAGGTTGTGTTCGTTAATGATATGAGAGCTGCTGAAACAGAACTGCTTGAAGTTTTTGAGAAAATGTATGGTGCTCCCACGAAAGGTAAAGAAACGTTTGAAGTAGATGAGATAGATAAAGCTATAAAATTATTTGACGAAGTTGCTGAAAAATACATGTAAAGCGTTTATTTTTGGTCTTTTGTGAAAGTCAGAAAATAAAGTTAGTTTTATTTTTATTTATTTTTTTATCTTGTATGTAAAGACAGTAATGTCAACATCAGAGAACACAACAACTGCTATCGTTCATGAAGCCATAAATGAAGAATACGAATACATACAGTATAACAAACAATTGAGACTCATTCGTTCAGTCAAAGATGACATGTACCAAATGCAAAGTATAATGAATGCTCTTCGTTCTACAAAGCAAGCATATCATTGGTTTGAAAACCAACAGACAAAAGAACTTTTAGAAGAATTTTCTCATATGATTGCTTCCCTCGGAAAACCGAGAGAAGAGATTCCGTACGAAAATCGCAAGAATTTGGCTCCTGGTTTGAAAGGTTATTATGTTCATAGACGTTTAGTAAACGCTGTAGCAATGTGGGCTTCACCTCGTTATGCTTGTTATATTTTCATGATGTTAGATGAACTATATAAAGCAGAACGCGGAGAGATGGAAAAGAAACTTCAAGCAAAAGATGAAGTCATTGAATCCAAAGACAAAAGCATACAGAAAAGAATACCGCGTTCAGTACCAAAAGGAAAGGAAAAGAGTTATAGGTATATGATATATACTGAAGAATTGGAGAAAGAAGAAGATAAAGATATGGTTATGTTGCATTTAGTCAGAAGAAACAACAAGAGCTTTTATGACTTAGCTAAAATATATAAATATGACAGAAACTGGTTCTATCGTGAAAACTTACCGATTTCAATGACACCGAATGAGCAAATAAAGGAAATTGTCAAAAATACTCTTCCTCAAACACACTATGACATCAAAGGTTGCACAATACTTACATTCAAAGAAGACTTAACATTACTGAAGGAAAAAATAACAGAATATTTCGATAACTTCAAAGAGGAAGAATGAAGTCACGGCAACATTAACGAAGAAGTCACGACAACATTAACGAAAAGAGAATGAGGTGAAAAAACGGGTGAGATCTCACCTCTTCACCTAAAATATATTTTTGTGCTATATTTACACTCATTTACGAAGAAGTCATGAATCCTACGTCAATTATGTTCGACACTGATAACATTAACGATAACATTAACGATAACATAAACGATAACATTAACGATAACATTAACGATAACATTCATTTTTGCATTAATCCTGCTGTGTTGTCAAAATGTCATGTTGTCATCATTTTTAAAAGAAGTTAATTAACCTGGTGACATGGTGACGTGGTGACGTGGTGACACCATCAGTTATTCAAAAATATATTTTTGGTTAAATAGCTTCAGGGTCTATTTCTTCAACCATTTCACTTCCTTCGTCAATGTCAATAGAAGCTTCTTCAACCTTTGGTAAGAATTTCTGTATAACATCTTTGTTCGTTATTGTCTTCAGAGATGAAGGATAATATTTCACATTTGTTTCACCCTTCTTATATTCTTTCTGTTCGGAAAGATTTAAAGCAATACTGAAGAAGTCAATATTAGAGTTCTTTATAACAGTATAATGAGTATCTTTGACATTCACGAAGAAACTCTTTTGTTTCAAAACTACTGCTAACTCTTGTGAAGTATAACGTTTGCGGTCAATGACGATAGCTAATGGTCTGACATACTGACCAAACTTAGATTCTTTCACAAACTTCTTGTTAAAGATAACATTAACATTTGAAGCATTATTGAACTCATTCTTGATGGCAGTAGCGAGAGCATTGTATGAAAAGAACTTGCAATCTTGCATGTGTTTCATTAAAATAAAAATATTAAATTATTTTGAAAAATAACTTTAAAAAATCTAATCTAATTTTTTCAAAAATATTTTTTTATTTCCTACTAAAGATGTATCGGAAGTTGTCTAAGTTAGAACACTCGGAAATAAAACAACTTCTTACAGAAGCTAACATAGAAGTAGCAAAACATTACGCAACAAACAAAAAAGCACTCGCTGACATCCTCAATGACTATAATGGTGCAATAAGTTATGATAGAATTCATGAGTTCATAAAGCCGCAACGCGGCGAGGACGAAGTCCATGCAAGAGCATTTCCTTTAAATGACATTGCTATTGACTTATATCATAGACGTTCAGTACCTCATGAAGTAAGAAGAGAAATGTTTGACATAACAAATGCAAACGTTGGTGAAACAAGAAGAAGAGACGACACACTGAAACAACAGAGAAGAGAGATGTTTAAAGTGCTATAGAACAAGTTCGCAAAGCTAACGATGTCATTCGTTCCATTGACGACAAACCAAAAGAAGGTGAGAGATGGTTAAAGAAAGATGAAGAGAATAGGAAGAGAAATGTGAAGTCAGGCAATAGACTCATTGACTTTAACATCGAAGCTTTAGATGAACCAAACAGAGACTACTTACACAAACATTTCGGTAAGGTTTTCATGAGACTCTTAGAGAAGATTAAAATAAACTCCCAACAAAGATGGATGGTATGTTATAAACTTGGTGGAAAGTATGAATGTTCTACGTTAAACCTCAATAATATTGGAACATTACTACATCAGCTCTTGAAGGAGAACTTTATATCAGAGATAGAAGCAAATGCTGCAGGTATTGTTGAAATGCACTATGACTTCTCTTCTTGACAAACATAAAGAATCTTACCGAAATAAAGATGTATGATTTAACAGAATATGAAGGCTTAACGATGTCAGATGTAAAGAAAGGCAAACCAAAAAAGAGACCATATAGAGATGAAAGCACACTGACAAATGACCAGAAAGCCATTTTGGAAGCTCTTAAGCAAACAGGAAACCCAGCACTTATAGAAAGCTTTTGGAAAGATAATGGTGAAAAGAAGTTTTATAAGAAGAGAAGCGGTCAGTTCTGGAAGTATCTTTGCACATTACCTATAAATCTTGAGCGCTACCAAATCTTCAATGAATTGAACAAAAGAACTGCAGCACTTATGACAGAAGACAATTGTTTCGTTTATGCTTGCATTCAGGCTGGAGTAGATGAAGAAACTATTGACCACATGAGAGAAGTCATTCGTGTTAGAGACTTTCCTCAAAGTAAAGTACAAGAAATTTCTGACGCAACAGGTATAGCATTTAATGTTACCATTGGTTATTTCAATGACTCAAGACATAATGAAATAAAGAGATACATACCAAAAGAATGTGAAACTGTTAGAACTATTGACTTACTTCTTGTTGAAGACCACTACATGCTAAATGAAAGATTACCAATGACAACATATTTCGTCAGAAATTACAAAGAAATTCTCAAAGCTTGTGGTGGAATGAACATTGAGAAACAAATGAAGATTTATACAAAGAGAGAAGATAAATATGTAGTTCGTTATGATAGAACAACACCGTTATGGGATGTTATGAAAACATTGTGGGAGTGCAAATATTTCGAACCTATTTCTTATGGAGAACTTTTCACATATACGACTGACTTATATAAACAGAACCTTGCACCATTTAAAGATTTGACATATGCTCCAAAGTATTGTGTACAACTGAAGAAGAAAGCCGAGTCAAAAGAAGTAAATAAAAATAAGTGCAAGTTCATTCCTGAGCACGTTTTCTTTGCTGACTTTGAGTGCAGTACCGATGGCTTTCATAAAGCTTTTAACATCTGTTACGACAGTGAAGATGGTTCAGTGAGTGAAAGCATTTGGGGTCAGAACTGTGCAACAGAATTTTTGGAACGACTTCCTGACAAGAGTTTAATATATTTCCATAACCTCAGTTATGATATAAACTTCATCTTAAGACACATGACAGAAGTGAAAGGAACTCCCATCATTAAAGGTTCACGAACAATGCAAATAACTGGCTTATATAAAGGAAGGGCAATTATTATAAAAGACTCTTACAGTGTTATAAATAAGAAGCTTAAACTATTTCCTGCTATGTTTAACTTACAAACAGGACCGAAAGAAGTATTTCCATACAACTACTACAGCAGTGTTTTGTTAGCAAATGACAACAGAACTGGTGTCATTTCTGAAGCATGTAAGTTTATCCGGGATGCAGATACATTCATGAAAAACATAGATTCCATCAAAGGTTGCAGAATAGATGAGAACCACTTCGACTTAGAAAAGTATAGCACATTTTATTGCAAACAAGATGTAAGAATTTTAAGAGAAGGTTTTGTTAAGTTCCGCAATGACATATTGAAAGAATTTGATTTAAACGTTTATGACTACGTTAGTATTTGTTCAATTGCTAACAAATTATTTGAGAACAGAGTGTACTTCCCGAATGGAAATTTATATGACCTCTCAAATAAACCAAGAGAATTTATTTCACGCTGTATTCAAGGTGGAAGATGTATGCTGTCAGATAACATTAAACAAAAGAGCGAAAAGAAACTCATTGCTGATTTCGACGCTGTTTCATTATATCCATCAGCTATAGCAAGACTTTATACTTTAGAAGGTATTCCAAAGGTTATGAAGAAAGAAATGTTAAGCACAGAGTATCTCATGAGACATTTATTCGATGACGACCAAAAGGAACCCATTGGTGAAAAGTTTATGTCTGGCTTCTTTGTTCTCATTAAGATAACAGAGATTGGAATACATAGACACTTTCCTTTAATAGTTTGTGACCCTGAACTAAATCCAGAACTTAACGTTCCCAGAAGTTCAAACACTTGCTGTTTAATGTATGTTGACCATATAACATTACAAGACCTCATAAAATATCAAGGTGTCAAATGTGAAGTGTTGCAAGGATACTATTACGATGGAAACAGAGATATTAGAATAAGAGATGAAGTAAAGAAGTTGTTTGAGTTAAGGTTAAAGTATAAGAAAGAAGGAAATCCTTTGCAAGAAAATATAAAGCTCATTCTGAACAGTATTTATGGCAAAACTATTCTATCTCCTATTGAGTCAAAAATAACCATAGTAAATGACAAAGATGCTATAAGATATGCCATCAGAAACTACAACCATATAGTGAAGTTCGAAGGTTTGGATGGTTCAGATAAAACTATTTTCAAGCTAACGAAAAGCATTTGCAGACACTTTAACTTCTGTCCACTTGGTGTTAACATTCTGTCTATGTCGAAGAGAATAATGTGTGAAGTATTCTGTACTGCTGAGGACTTAGGAATGGACATCTTTTATAGCGATACGGACAGTATGCATCTCTACAATGAAGATATCCCTCGTTTAGCTGAAGAGTTTGAGAAACGTTATGGAAGAGTTCTCATTGGTAAAAACCTTGGTCAATTTCATAGCGACTTTGCAGAAATCACACCTGGAAAACAAAGTTTAGCATACAAGTCAATATTTTGTGGAAAGAAGACTTACATAGACTTACTCACGAATGATTTAAATGAAGTTGCATTTCACTGCAGAATGAAAGGCGTGAAGCAAGATGTTATTGCTTTAACCGCTAATGAAATGTTTCCTGACTCTGTTCAGTGTTTCTATGATGAAGATAAAGGTTTAATGGTTCCGCAAGGAACATATGACAAAGACTCTGAGTTCAGTTTATGAAGTTTATAGCACTTTATGACGGTCAAGAGATTGGATTTGACTTATGTAAGTCATGTCAACCTTGCTTTGAAGAGAAGTTTAACTTCTCAATAACGACTAAAACAAGCTTTATTCGTAAGTTGAAGTTCTGAGGTCATTTATTTTTGTCAGCAATGAGGCATTCGTGATAAAAATAAGCCGCTAGCGGCAAGGGCGAAGCCCATGTGGTCATTTACAATACTGCGATGGTAGAGTTTAAGAGTTGTGCTTCAATGTAGAGACAGTCCTTATGGTCTGGAGGTAGCAAAACAGGTGCTTATTATGGTCATGAGTGGAGAACATGTCTATCCAAAACTC